CTCACTCACTTGGAAGTAACGATGCCATCGGATCTGACCGATACAGTATAAAAACCAGAACGGAAACGAACCCCTTGAATGTACAGACGTACATTTAATTTCTTTTGCATCACACATATAAAATTGTCCATATCGGCGGAATATACATTGTACATGTGTTGTTACATATATATTCTTTATTGCACTAAAACATACAGTAATAATAACAATTAGAAACACAATGTAAGCAAAAGTGGATTTATCTCTAAAAAAATTTCTTCCAGTCAACTTAACACAGCGGCATAGGAAGTAGTGAGTCTGGCAGCAGTAGTGCAAAACAGAAATTTAAACAACAATATTAAATATATACAAATGTTGCCACAAACAAAAATAAAATGGAGCCCAAAGAAGATTGTTCACTGCTTGTTACAGTCAATTTTCTCGGAGATTATTTTACTTGAATTTTATATTAGAGGAAAGTGGCTTTTATCTAGTGGCATTACAGTAGAAGAAAATTTATACACTTCAGCTCACATACTTCAAGATTAAGAAGCAACCGTATTTACCTGACTTATAATTTTTTTGTTTGACACTGTAAGCGTGTTTTATTAAGGAATTGACATTATTATATTAAGGCATAATTATGACAATATTGGCACTTGGTGGTGAGATTTAGAATTCATTTTTATAAGCGAGAGTATCATCAGAACAGCACCATCTGTAGAGAACCTGTTGAAATAGTACAAGCATAATCACCTATAAAGATGAAATTATTTGATATTGAAAACATAATTTAATGTATACATGAATCGCAATTCATTTATAACAGGTTACGTGGTAAAAGCTTTTCTTGTGGAAACGGTATTAACCGAGATTTCATTTACTTCATCAACGAAAATGGAATATTGTTCCAATGTTTCTTGTTCAATTACATTATTGTGTACATCGTGTGTAAACGTGCGTTAACAAACTTTGTTAATTTGTTGAATGCTTCGTTGATTAATGGTACTGATTCAGAGCACTGATGTGAACTAGTTTGAATTTACTCTGCCTAATGTGAGCACATTAGTGAATTTGTCAATTCGAATTGAGCATGATAGACGATTTCCGAGAGCGTCGTCCCGATTTCAGGTGATTGATGACAACATCGATTGTAGATCTGACGACTATCCTATAATTCCGATATATAAATTACCATATTGCAAGTTCACATCAAAAATTTTATGTAAGTTTTGGTACATACAAAATTATAAGTGATTTTCATACGACTTTTAATAAAAAAGGTCTTGATTTACCATCAAGTAACATCGTCATTCCTAAGTAAAATTATATTATCCAAAAAATTTTATACCGGAGATAAAAATACTGACAATTTTAATAATGGAGAACGTTTTAGGACTAAACGACATGATTTTCCAAGAAAACATTTACATATTTCAAACTTTATTAAATAAACTTACCTCACATTTTGGGACATGTTTCCGCTAGGTTATTTATAGTTGAAATTCCACGCATTCGGCATTAATTTAGCAATGTAAGGTCGTCATTGGGTGCACGTTTAATCATATATATATTCAGTATAACTTGTATGGTTTCAAGAGCTGTGGATTCTGTGTAATAAATACAACGACTCTGGAATGCGCTACCCATGGACATAAGACAAATTTCTAACAAATTTATTTTTAAGAGAAAAGTCTACGAATATCTTTGGAAAAAACTGTGAAAGCAGTTCACCTTCATCATCATCACTTTGATCTCTATCGTTGTTTATTTGTGTTATCGTATATAATCTATAAGTAGGTATATATATATATGTATATTTATATTTGTATATATGTATTTTTATTACATATTTGTATATTTATGTAATATTTGTTTAATGTATTCATGTATGTATATTTATATAATCTCTATTGTATGTGTTGTAATTTTTTTTTCACCGCATATTAAAATTTCTGTTTAGCCAAAGGTTGACTGGGAGAGAATGCTATATAGTATTAAGTCCGCCTTTTGTACCAGACATTTTTTTTTGTAATGTGGTCAATAAAGCATAAATAAAATAAAAATAAAAAAATAAACCATATAGGTAAGAAATAGAAAGTTAGTAGAAACTAGAAAATAATTCTTATAAGTGGACAATCTTATTTGGACATATATTGGGGCTTATGTAGACAAAGTTTAATTAACAAAGTTCTGTTTCAAAAGTATTTCTCTTCTGTTAGTGAAATGTTATTTTTTTTTATTACACCAATTGTAACTTTCTCGTAATTGTGCCCAATTGACTAAGAGTCCGACCTTTTCTTATTCATTAAAATATGATTATTTACAATTGTAAATTAATCTTTGTAAATGCTTTGAATAGTGAAACTACTCAGGTATTTGTAAGTTATAATTAATTGTGGAAGTGTACAAGTGTCTTCGTAACAATACGAATATTATTTATTTGTTTATTTATTAAACTTTAATACGCCTTGCCGTGTGGACTCGGCATAGAATAGGCCACCCCTTCCTATCCCGTGGGTGTCGTAAAAGGCGATTAAGGTAGGGCGAGGGATGGGCAGCAGCGTCCCTTTAAAAACATCTCTAAAGCTTAGGCTTCCCCGCAGTTAGCTGCAGTTGCCAATACGCCTGCCAAGCACAGCAACTACTGAAAAAACCCCCCAAGTGGGAGGCTTATATTTAGCAGTGAACAGTTAAAGGCTGACTTGATGCTGATGATGAATATACCTAGAAAGTGTATATGGCGAACTAAACACCATATGGTGTCATCCACTAGTCGATTGTAGACAGGAATAACAAAAAATATAAATGATGGTGCAACGTAATAAACATTATTAAATTAAAACGGTAATTATAAAATAATATACATATAATAGTCATCTATATTATACACTTATATCTTATAATTCTTATTAAATGTGAAAGGTGTTTTTTTGTTACCTGTGACTTTGGCCGTGTTAACAGGATATGTTTATTGACCGGGATTAATAGTAACCTACATCCTTCTCTGTCCCATATAGTACGTGTATAGTAAATATCATAGTGATTTATTAATTTGTGGAAGAAGTCGCGGATGAAAGCTAGTTTATAAAATGAATATTATACATAATATACCCTAACTCATAAAAACGTCAATCCTTACATAAACTTATTTCAGCTATTTAACTGTTTTATCTCTTTTGTACTAAATTCTTAGTTCTTAAGGAAAATCATAAAATAGTGTAATAGTTAAAATAGTTTTGTAGAAGGTTAGAATTTCTATGAATAAGAAGTCAAGCTCAAACGAATTACCTTTTACTAATTTCCCAAGATTGAATCCCAGTCTAGAAGACCTAAAAATAACTATTCTTTGAATTATTTAAAATTTATTGTCTCTTGCCTCATAATTTAGAAGACAGGTGAAGTCTTCTTATCCTCTGGTAAGTTAAGGCCTTTGTGTTCAAAGATAATCTAGAAACTTCAGAGGGGCTATAATTGGTGATAGTATTAGTTACATTGACGAAAGGATTATCACTACTATCTGTCTTATCTTCCTATCCATTCTATCCATCTTGTATCTTATCTTCTATCTTCTCATAAAATGTTAATAAAGCGCTTTTGGCACCTTTAAACTTAAATTAATGAAAGCAGGTAACTAAGAGCAACGATTCGCTCGCTTGACCAAACTCCACATTAAGATAAAGGCGGTTACTTCACAAGTATTTACCACCACTATAAGTGCTTATTCCGAATAATCTTCTAGACTCTAACAACTTTGTAGTGTGCCGTTTTGTTGCTAAAGATCGAAACTTTAATATGCCATAAAAAAATATAGCCGAAATTTTCTTTTTTCTCCAGTTTAAATTTGATTTTTATTTAATTTAAATATTTGGCTATTTTTTATTTACATTATGCGTAGTTTTCTGCCTTCTGGAATTTAATTTAGGTAATTTGAAAATTGTTAAATAGGTTACGAATGTTCGTATAAATTTTGTTTAATATTTACGATATTGTCGTCTATTTTAGATTCTACAGAATTTTCCCGGAACGTTAGCTCTTGAGAAATCGATAGAGCTTCTTTGCCATTTATATCTTGATGTCTCTCGATTCTAGGCTGTGTACTTACCTACAGAGTATCGTTAAATAAAATGGATGTATTTGCTCAATCGACGGAACTTGTTCAGTGAAGCCCTTAAATTATTGTTGGGATTTTTGTTACGAGTATGTTATTTTTAGGCTTCAAATAGTAGACGAATGATAAAATGTTTATAATACATAATCTTAAATAAATGGTTTCGATCATGTCTCTCTATCTAGTTTCATAGATTTGTTCGATTTTATGATCTTCCCATAAACTTTAGTGATGATACGTTGTTTATTTTTTTACTCTATCACCACACAAATTGAAAATAATTTGCAGTGATATAATAAAAAAGTAAACAAGTTAAAACCTTATATTGTTATTAAACTCTATTAAAAGCAAATATAGTTATCGGAATTTTTAAAGAATAGCTATTTTGCATATCTATTGCTGTAGCTCTGTGCTCGGCTTTGGAAAAAGGGACAATTGCACCTCACCTCACACGTTAAAAATAGCCTAATCGTCATTTCGTATTCTCCTGTTTTCTCTTCCAAAATTGATCAGATTTTGATTACGTTTTCGATAATAATACAAAAAGGCCTTTAGCTAATAACAAGAAATTCATTTTTATTAATTATTTCTTTTAATTCATCGGATTTGTTTGGTGGTTTGATTTGGTTGGTTTGTTTGCAGTCAGAAATTGATCAAATATCTTAATATTTGAAAATCTTTATTATTTATGGTCATTAATATTTGAAAAAAGAAAGAAATAGAAAGATATGGATAGGGCACAACAGGGATATAGATATTTAAATTGTATAGTGAAAGAAGTTGCACTTTCACTGTCGTTATCTAGGGATGAAAAAAGTGAACACGTTTGTTTGAGGAAAACGGTGCCCGCGTTTCCTTCCAATGTTTGGTCTTGGTTATTATATTGACGTTATATTTGTTTTCTTTTCAGTTGTGCGGTTGAGGCGAGCTCGGCACCATGGGGAAGCTACTCTCGAAAATCTTCGGTAACAAGGAGATGAGGATATTGATGCTGGGACTCGACGCTGCTGGAAAGACTAGTATCCTTTATGAGAAATTAAGAATTATTTTATTAGAAGATTTTTTTTCCCAAAAACTACAGACTTTTACAACCATTAAAATTGTGAAATCTGTCCAGCCGATCTCGAGTGATGAATAGTGATGACCCGGCAGACGCCGTTTCCAGACTTTTACAATCTTAATTTTTTCTTTCCATTAAATCGTTAATTGGTCTATTAGGTACGAAAATAAAAAAAAAAAGATTATCAAATCAGTTCAACCGTTCTTAAGTGATGCTGTTGTAAACGCACAAATTAGCTTTTTTTATTTTTTTATATAGAAGACTAGTATTTGTGGCGGCGTGGTGGGCCAGGTCGTTGGGCTTCCTATAATATGGTTGGCACGGCTGACCAATTCGTCATACTCGTGAACGTAGATCTAGGAGGGATTTGTCTGTTTAAAAATACTCTGAGTGTAGCTTTGTAGCTTTTTATTTTCTTTCTTTTATCAAAACGAAGTTTGTGATAGTTATTTTATTCATTCATAGTTTTTGTTGTAAACGTAACTTTTGCTGTAAATGTTGTTCTTTTCAGCTGTAACTGTATTCTGAACTGAGCGGTAAATTTATATTAAAAATGACCATTCAAAAATGCTTATTATTAAGTTTACTCGAATAAAAATTATTTATTATTATTATTTGGCCGCAATTTTGTGCACACAAATAATTTTATGTTCGCATTCTGTGTGCACCGCTTAACGCGAGGCATCGATAATTTCATGCTCGGTTGAATATGTGAGTATGTAGATAAACACGTGGCATCAACTTGCATAAATTAATTTGAATGATTTAATCACAATGCTCTCTCGTGAGGAACACAATCGTGGTGCATTCACATACCGTATGATCATTATTCAATTAATACGACAATGTGGATCTATTGCGATATTGCTTCGAATTGTCCTAGTTGTCATGTGTAACCGAAGTAAAAAAAACGGAAAAAGACAAAGGAGGCTTGACTCCGGGACAATTTCGACTTAACACGTTCACGCCGGGGCCGACTTTAATGTTTAATAAATAAACGTTAAATTTTCATTATTTCTAATAGCACAATCGAATACGTACCACCGGTGGTACGCGCCGCCAGAAAAGACAGTCTAGTGCGGGCCACCGGTGGTACGCGCCGCCAGATAACACAATCTAGTGCGTACCGCCGGTGGTACGCGCCGTCCAATGAGACAGTCTAGCACGGGCCACCGGTGGCCCGCGCCGGCGTGAACGTGTTAAACAAACTCTCCTATTTGAAATCCAGTATGAAATCTATCTGTTGTTTAAAATATGTTAGTGAAAAAATTTGATATGATCCAAATAACCGTGTCCCGATTTGGGCCATAGTGCGTTCATTGATGAATCGCATATTAACCGTTAGGGGTTCACGAGTACAGTCACGGAAAATAGTTTAATTGTAATTCAAAGTGGGCGTATGTTTATAGGCAAACCAACATTGATGACTTAATTGACATTTATATCTGTGAAGATTCTTCATCAGAACTATCAAATCTTAAAAATATGTCTTCCATTTCTGTTAATGTAAGTTTTATTGGCTGTGTCAGATGCCTTGTATACCCTAAATACCAAATAACAGTTGCTATGTGAGCGCAACAGTCTACGGTTCGAGTCCCATTTTTGCAGGTATCATCAGAATGCATTAAATCACTAAATCTCCTTGCCATGACGGTTTAACATATTTCCAGATACTTGACCGTTCAAAGTTTAAATTGTGACCGTTACTACCGTCACCGCGAGGAGGTGCTCTGGTCGCAAAGAGAATTACAGTGCCCTATAATATTTCACAGATAAATTATAGGGGATGTTTTCACAAATGAAATGGGTTTCTGCCACTTTAATATAACGCAATTAACTTTTCTAACGAAGTGTCCCCACCAAACACACTCATAACAACGATATATTCTATCGATATAGGTGATGCACTATCTAATGATGTATATACTACTTCGGGACTCGTCATGGCCCAGAACCCATATTATCCGGGACACGGTTCTTTGCATCTTGGTTATCGAGGTTATAAGGGCTCCCAATTTTTTTTAATGGGTGAATCTGAAATGGTAACTCCGCCTGTGTTATTGGATTTTGGTGTTTGACTTTGGCGGGGTATTAATGAGAGATATAGGTGAGAATAAACACAGGTTAATTGACCCACCGTGATGTATTCGACAAAAATTCATCAGAATGGTTTATAGGGGTAGAAGTCGACCTTAAATATATATATATATATATATATATATATATATATATATATATATATATATATATATATATATATATATATATATATATATATATATATATATATATATATATATATATATGTATATATATTGCTAGCACTTGGGCTCTTAGACACCAATTACTAATAATATCTTTCCCCATTGTGTTTCCAGTTACACTTCGGATGAAATATTATGTATGAGGAAATTTCAGTATTACATTTCGTTTCTTTTCTTGTGTATGTAATGCGATATCTTTCTCAATTTGAATTTAAAAATACAGATTTCAATAATTCTTTTTGCGATCAATAAGATGTTGGTCCCATATAAATTTTGTCATGATTTATGCACTTAGTTTTTTTTTTGTGAAGTAAAACTTGAATTTATGAAATGTGTTCTAGTATTGATCTCTCTTTTTTTTATTTCTGTTGTTTTTTTTTCTAATTAATATTTCTTTAACACATTGTTGCACAGCTATTTTATATAAGTTAAAATTAGGTCAGTCAGTCACAACGATACCTACAGTTGGTTTCAACGTGGAAACTGTGACGTATAAGAATGTCAAATTCAACGTTTGGGACGTAGGGGGGCAAGACAAAATACGACCGCTCTGGAGGCATTACTACACAGGTGAGGTCATTTTGAAATTTATAATTCTCTTTATTCTATCACTTAAATTTAGGAAACGAACTTTTCTGATATAGTTCTGCTCTGGGTATTGAACCCTTTGTCCTCCCCTGATGTTCATTACTTGGTTCCTTTATAAGACAGGGTATCCTAGCTTGGTATGATAGTGTAAAAAAGAAAAAGATCTGACCATTTATATTAATTTATTTAATATTGTATTATAAAGTATTCGGGGTAGGTATTAAAACAATTTACAGTTTTATTTACCTATGTTTAAAATCTTTAGAAATCCTTTTAATGAATATGTTATGTACTAACTTTTTGTGCAAATACGTCTACAATGAGTACTTCTGTCTTAACTATTTCTGACCCTACTACCCTGCTTGCATGCCATGTTCCGGTTTTAAAGGTGGCATATGGCTGTGAAATTACTAGGTTATGTTGTGACTTGTTCACGTTACAAAGTTCGCAATGTGTTTCTTTTTTAATTTTACAAACGGTATTGCTCTTGCGAAGTTACGATATGAGCCGACCTAACAATATTAAATTGGCTATTTTCAGGCACTCAAGGTCTAATATTCGTGGTTGATTGCGCGGACCGGGACCGCATCGACGAGGCGCGCCAGGAACTGCATCGGATCATCAACGACAGGGAGATGCGCGATGCGATCATACTTATCTTCGCCAATAAGCAAGACTTGCCGGAGGGTACGTATTATTCAAAAAGAAATTTGATAATGATACTGATAATAATAAATATTTATTCGATCCGGCTTGAAGGACCAATACTTGTAGAATAATATCTATCAACTGTAGAAAGAGACAAATACCAATAAAATAGCGAGTTGTTATGATGATTGATAAGACGCCACACATGCTGTCTCGTTTTTTTCTTATGTAAACGTATCTACTTCAAATTTGGAAATTCTTATTGTCATTTCTACTATCGCCTTTGACCTGATATACCACACTGATATTGTCTTTTTCTATTTTTTTATATAGTTTCTAGCCTCAAACTTAGCATCTTGTATTATAGGTATAAGAAATGTTATTCATTGAAAACACTTATTTGGCTTCAGTGAAATTGTACCTCACAATCATACTTACAAGTCTGGCTGGGTCAATAGCCTCTCCCATAAAATAGAATAAAATATCACCAGTGAAATGAAATGGCACCATGATCGTCATCGAATGTTTTGTGATATACTGTTTATGCCTATAGGCGACACTTGCCATTTTTCATCAGGTGGGGTGTAAGCTCTTTTCCGTTCCAAGTTTTATAAAAAAAAAAATGTGTAAAACCACCTTAATTGTTCTTTTTCCAGCAATGAAACCTCACGAGATACAAGAGAAGCTCGGGCTGACGCGTATCCGCGACCGTAACTGGTACGTGCAGCCGTCGTGCGCGACCACCGGCGACGGCCTGTACGAGGGGCTCACGTGGCTCACCAGCAACCACAAGTTATGAGCTGCGGAGTAGGCGGCCCGGCCGCCCGCACGCCTGCCGTCACGCCGCAGCCATACGGTAATAGTATTTATTGACCCTAGCTTAGAAATAGATTCTTTATTAAAAAAAAAAAATTACATAGCCAGTTTTCTGTCCTCTTGCCTACCTCCTTTAACAACAAATAATAGAGATTTCTAGAAGGTTTTGTTCATATCACTAATCACTGTGTGTGGTGACTTCTTGACGGATCCTCTTCATATAGATTATTATTTATATTTATATTGTATAAATAGTAAAACATACAGTTTTTATTGTATATTTTACTATTTATACACGCGACTGGTTTCAAATGTCATAAGCATATTTAATTTTATTTAATTATTTTAATTTTATACCCCATTTTGACAGTGACAGAAATTGCTTGTCAATTTTTTTTTTATTTTTCTTTTGTGGTAAACACTCCGAGTTTAGGGTATTTTCAACAGACCTCAAAAAGTTTTCAAAAGGAAGTTCTCAATTTGGTTGTATTTTTTGTTTGTTACTCTTCGTAATTTCCTCAGTTAGAAACAGATTTGAATTTTTTTTATGTGAAGGGACATGCTTATAGTTTGTTTTCATAGAAATTTTATCAATAGTTTAGGTTTTAAATCAAAATAACTACTTTTACCATGATTTAAGTCAGTTATTTTTGGAATCAACACAATTACTCACTTGGAACACAATTTAATTATTTAAACTTTAAGAAAGGTATTAAGTATGAATGTGGATATAAGGGCAGAGGTAGACCTAAAAAGACATGGATGGACTATGCTAAAGATGATATAGTCAGAATGGGAGTGTATCCGGAAATGACTGCGAATAGAAAACAATGCAAGAGAAAAACATCATATGTCAACTCCAAATAATAATTGGTATAATGGTAGGAAGATAATGATGACACTTTGTCTAGAAAAAAATGTTTAATTATCTAACTGTATAAACTGTAATGTAACTTTTAATGTGTATTGCTGCCCCGTCGTAATGTAATTTGCTTACCAATTTGGTTTTTGGGAACAAGGAGAAGTCACACGGGGCCAAATCCGGCGAATAGGGGGGGTGTTCGGTCACCGTAATGGAATTTTTTTTTTTTATTAATTAGTTGAGTTGTCAAGAAAATATTTAACAAATCGTCATCCTACTAATATAATAAATGTAGCAATTAGAATGTTTGTTACTAAATCACACACAAATAGTTCGACAGGTTTAAATGAAATACAACAGTTGATGTATATGTCCACCCTTGCTCACAACATTTATAAATAGATTAATTTATATGTAATTTACAAGTGCAATAAAAAAAATATATATTTTTATTTATTCTCTTTATTTTATTTTATTTTATTATTTATTGACCACATTACAAAAAAATGTCTGGTACAAAAGGTGGACTTAACAATATCCCAATATTATAATTTTTATTTTTATCTTAACGCGGGTGGGGTCGCTGTTGGTATGTTAATGATATGTGCTTTATCGGTTAATGTATTCATAATTTTTTTTATATGACTGTTGCGGCTTTTTTGGCCGGGTTTCTCACTGGCCGCTTAGACATTTGGCAGACAAAAATAACTGCCTTTGACACGACAAATAAATACGAGCAAGACAGAGGAAGAAGACGAAAACAATTTAGATAAGAAATTGTTTTTTTTTTTAATTTTTTGTTCTCAAGACATTCCAATAGTGATCTTCAAACTTTAAACGACAAAGGTCGCAAATAAAGACACTCGTACAGCCTGCCTGATCGTGAAGAGTCAGTATTGTCTATGAACGCTTGCAATACTAGGAATGTCACGTATGCATTGCAAAAAAACCCCCATACTGTAGTCTCTAGGGAAAACCTAGGTAAGGAGCTCATTTCACAGGTTGAGCGTTCGCGAGAGGAATCTCCTCTGAATATTAAAATATAGATAATAATTTATTCATTTATTAATATTTATAAATGTGATTCCATTTCAGGTGAGGTTATCGATGCCATTTAATTTAAGTAAGCTGCGCCGGCGCTGTCGTATAAATTTATTCCATTGTGAACCAGTGCCGAATTGGATGCGTTATGTCAGTGAAAGTTCGAACGTTGCGAGACACTAACAGTGCCGCCTATCATCTCATAGACATTCATTGTTAACTAAACATTGAATTAGATGATTTTTACACCAACGATAAATCAATTATTCCATTATTTAATTTAACAAATTACCCGTTTGTTGTATATCTAAATATTTGATTATTTTTTTATGTTATTTAAAAATGAAAATTATTACGTAGAGTAAATGTTTTTTTTTTTTTTAATCAAATATTATGGTCAATTTAATGTTTACCTCCTTTGTATTATAAGGTATAGAGTATTGGAATGGAGCGAAGATGCGTTTGCGCATTATAAATTATTGTATTTGCTTTGGATATTCACGCCTGATGATTCGAGGTGTTTATGTATGGTGGCTTGACTTTTGCGGCTTCCAAAAAAATCAATCTTTTTTTTTATATTGATCTACCATGGATGATTAATCTGGTCCAAATAATTATTATAATCTTATATGTTTTCACTTTGGTAGAAACAGAGATTATATATAATTACTATTATATTAATATTTCAAAAAATAAACCATTCGACGGACAATTTAATTGGCTCTATTCACTAATTATATTATTTATGTACAGTACAGAAAGTAATGATGCTTTTTTTTTCTGACCATATCAACTCGAACTAAGTTGATACGGTCAGAAAAAAAGTGGCAATAGTCAAGCTACAAATTGTATTGTACATATAATCGTCTCAATATGTACATATTGAAAATAATTATTGTGTTGTTTTTTTATAATGTTTACGCAGTTACAAGCCGGATAGTAAATTGGGAGATATCACCTTTTAACTTGTAATTCAGTAAAATATTCATATATTTTTTTAAGTTATCTATATCAAGGAGATTTTTATTTTTTCTTAAATAAATAACAGTGGGATTGATTCTAAATCTTTTAAATCTTAATAATTAAAATTTTCTTTCGATAGTGTGGCAAATGTATTAACTGTAATTAATGTAAATTTACATCAGTGATAAATATTTTGTATTAAGATTAAAATTTTAGATTTAGAGATTGAAAATAGAACTTTAGAATCAACTCCATTGTAGAACTTAATTCCATATATTTAGAGAGAATTTTGTTTGAAAGTGGTTTCTTTCAGAAGATGTTATTCTATAGAGACATTTGTCCAAAACTTTGGATGACAGTGTGATATCGCCCGCTATATAGTGTTGCTTAATAATCGATTACTAATAGAAATTAATCGATAGTATTCATAAAAAATAATTAAAACACCGATTGGCCTCTAATATTAGTTCTTCTATATTATTTGAAATTTTACGCAATTTAATCCATTTTATCATAATATTATTAGTAGTATCGATTGTATCACACTCGAATACAGAACAACGATATTCATTCTATCCGTTATATAGAATAGATAGGATTGTTGCAAAATTTGCTATTGATACTATGGATTCTATTGACCGATTATACGATTATATCGTAGGTTCATTGTTGATTATTCGATTACACAATCGTATAAATTTATTGATCAAATTATTATTCGATACTTAAATTAATCAATCGGTACCCATCGATTTTTTTTGATAGGTGATAATGGTATGGTAACCCCGTGTCTGCTATCGGTATTTAATGGCGGGGCACCAGTAATAAAAAGCGGGTCAGTTAGCCCATCCCGACAAATTCAACTAGAATTAGCCACGATGTTTTCCACGTGGAGGTCGACCTAATAGGGTGTATTGCTAGCAATGGGGCAATTAGACCCCACTACTAACAATCCCTTCCCCTCTCCCTCCCGCCCCCAAACGATTATTAGGCAACATTACCGCTATGTTTAAAGAGAACGTATTATGCTTGGCTTTTGATGTGATTGGTAATAGTTAAGATTAGGTCTGGGACCATCTACTTTTTGCGATTTAACGAACATTTTGTAACGGACTTGGAAATGAGAATCGATTATCTGTAAAACTATTTAGTTATTGTCTATGGCAATTATCCTAACTGTCACGCGGTATACAATAGTATTATATATCTTTAGAGATGAGAGTAGATATAGAATTATGAAATTCCAGATGACTGTTTTTTTTTTTAATCAACGCTTGGTCATTATTGTGTAAGGAATTTCAATTAGCAATTAAACTTCACTCATTGCCAAGTCTCTTGAGGCCATGTTTTTTGTAATATTGTTTTTCTTGCCCATATCCGATTGTTTAAATGAGATTTAATTAAATGTTGGCTCAGTCGCCGTTTCAGTCTTAACGATGTAAACAATTCTTTATCAATCATAATCAATACAAACGACAATTTGTTCATTGATACTTGAGAATACTAGTAAACAAATTAAGCCTATTTTCTTTTATTACTGGCTTTTGCCCGCAACTTCTCCCGCGTGATTTATGTCAGTAGATATTTACTTCTAGATAAGATATCTTATCAAGACAGACACCAAATATTGAGTTAGACTTTCAAAATCACAACTGTTAAAACCGCATTTGATTTGGTGCAGTAATGTTTGTGTGATGTCGGAATTAACATACAAAGACTCGAAATTTCTAAAAATTATTATTTTGGCGTCTGTTAGTCTAATTAAGATATTTCATAATATATTTTTTTTAATATTTACAAACATCCTTCAGTTACAATTGTATTATAATAATAGTTCTTAGAATTGAAAATTAATTTCACAATTTTACATAATAAAAAGATGGAACCGTTGTCAATAGATACGAAAAGTACCGTTGCCATCATAATAGTACCATTTAAGTATCACTATCTCCGAGAAAAAAGGTGTAAGGCCTCGGTTTACTGGGAACGTAACGTAATTTTTCCGCCACATCCCATGTTTCAAACTGCGTCAAATAAATAACTGCTTATCGGCAGAAATATGTTTATTTTGTACACTTAGTGTGTTATTTCAAAAATAAATGCTGAGATCGTTTATTAATTGTCTTAATTATAGGAAAAGAAATCGTAAGTAAATGAAAATTAATCGATCGGGCCAATGAAAACTAAAGCAAAGCTTAAAGTATGCAATAGACCGATTGTATTTCCTACTTGTGAATAAATAAGGATTGTTTTACATCGGCAAGGCTGAAGCGTCGTTTGCCTCTCGTGTAAAAAGGCACTAAAAATCATTCGTGTACCAACGGAGGAGTATTTCTATCAAATCTCACCTATTCTTTGTGATATAAATATTATTTCTGTATCTTACCTTTAACCGTTATTAACCTATTTACTTTTAATACGTACGAATGTTTGGTAATGTAATATTTTCGAGGAAATATGACAATATGCTGATTTGTTACTCGCCAAATTTGATACGTTTTGTAAGTATCTATTCTAAGAACAGTCACCATCAGATATAACTGCATCTGTCTGTAAAAACATGCGAATTGTATTATATGTATTTAAATATTCAATATACATATTTAATATATTATATATTACTTGATAAATAGATACACAGTCATTTCACGAATATAAGTATTGTTCCAAAGTTGATTACAATGTGGCATTGTCAATTTTCATAGTAACTCTAAACAAGGAGTGCAGTAACCATCGATTAATGATACCGACTAGATGTCTCGTGAAAATGCTAAAATGGCCAAGCAAATAACGCCTGCAAATAACACAAGGATTCCGTTTGTGTTATACCATTTTTAAACGACACAATATTGCATCTCTGTGCATCTTCTACCGAATTTATCATTGGGAGTGCTCTGAGGAAATGTTCGGATTGATATTTGCTGCTGATTTTTACCACTGTACGACCCGTCATAAACTAGTTCCATACCAACTATCTGGATGAGTGGCGGTCCTCCATCGTGCGTTTTTCAAGACACTTTCAAGCAGCAGTAATTCCGAACCGATACGATATCACAACCTTAAAAAAGACCAAATTCCTTTTTAAAAGGCCTGCAGCACACCTGCAATGCCTCTGGTGTTGCGTGTGATCATTGGCGGTGGTAGTCACTTACCATCAGATGAACTGGATGCTTGTCCCTCGTTATAAAAAAAAAAAAAAATATTCGAATTCTGTTTTAAATTGTGAGGCGTTATATTGTTTATTGCTTTATCTAGTTGATATTGATCGAAGGTAAGAGGTAAAGAGCATTACATTAGCATTTATATGCTTTATAGTGAATGTGTTTGCTGGGCGTCGACTGTAAATCTTGTCACTGATCGAAGTAATATATACATTACATACTGAGGAGTATTTTTAAAATTTTACACTGAACTCATCCCATATTAAGTAGATCTGTGCTTGTAGATAACAGAGAGAGACGCAGCATAACTGCAGCATGCTGTTTTGTTCTTCCACGTGCGATCGTTTGCTGATTCGTTTTTTGCACACGTAATAATTAGAATGATTTTACTTCGGCATTTTCTGATAGTCTACAGGCACTAAACGTCAAAAAAGTATAGTGATCTATATGATGCTGACTGTACTCGTATATAGTGTAGTCTAATGCAATAAAACCATACGTTTTCGATGTACTTTCCACATCAGTTAGTAGAGGCTGTAAAACACTGTATACAATTAGCTGCGTAATTCTGCTCTCCTGGGACTTTCCTGGAAATTTATTGTATATACTGGCAAGTATCGTAAATACACAATACATACATACATGTACTTGCCAGTATTAATTAAAAGTAGATATCTATAGTTTGACATTAAAAATACTAAAAAGAATACAATAAACTATAAGGGCTCATATTATATGATAATTGAATAAAGCGCAGTTTTCGCTAATAAAAAATTGCATAAAGCGATGTTTTCGCTAATCTTCGAAATGTGCACAGTTTATTTTCGGGTAATCCTAAATGTATGGTTGTATTTCAGATAGACTTATTTTCTTTACACTAGATCATTATGGATCTAGTGACGTGTCTAATTCGTCCGATATGTGCTTACTCTTAAACACGTTTATAACTATCTCATAGTCTATGGTCCGCTTGTAATATTTGTAATTGTTGTTATTTACAGGTCGTTATGGCTTTTTAATAAATCTTAAATATTTTTTAATACATTTACAATTATATATTTAGTCTATTTGCTATAGTAAACTAAATAGTTACAACTAAACGGGCAACACTAGGCATATAAATCAAGTGATAAAATTTTTTTGTTCCAATCGATGTCAAACACCTATGTATTTAAACAAAATTCGATTTGGATTAAAATTAGGCCTTTCGTTTATCACTTGAAAACGACTAATTTGGCTTTTTAATTAGGAAAAGAAAAATAAAAAGGAATTTGGGAATATTTCGAGCAAGTAAAAATTAAATGGACTGGCAATTACAAGCTACAATCCTTGATTTGCCAAGTAGATTGCTAGTTGCATATGAGAAAATCTACTACATTTATATATTCAATTCGATGTTACAAGCCGACTATAGGCTGATTCTGTGAATATGAAGTTTATAGGAAAGCTTTAAATATACCAGGCAAAGGAATTTAGTATGTATATGTGTTTACAATCGAACCTTTTTCTATTAGATTATTAAAATAAAGTGCAATTAAAATTATAGATAATGCACTGAGATGTAAAAAATGAGTATGTACGTAATTTATGATTTCTAAATTTATTTTATCCAATGTCTATGTTTTGTATGGGAGTGTGGAGAAGAGCTATTGTATAATATTGTAGAAAGGTTATTCAATATAAATCACACTTATAATTTATTGTTTTATTTATTTAAATAAATATTTTTTTTATATATATTTATAACAAGATATTAAGAAAAGTATTAACTCAGTCTACTAATTCTAGATAATATAAACTTTCTTGAATAAAAATGGTTTACTTTAATTTCGTAATTTACTCATCTATATATTATAACCTTTAAATTATTTTATGGTGTTACTAACTATCCAATCCAGGAACATGAGTAATTGACCGAATCTTTTCTTCGACTTTCGTATCAACCTTGTCATTTTTCAACGCGCTTGTAGACCAACACGTATATGATACTTAAAATTGAATTGCATTTAATATCGTAACTAAGAATTTGTATCTTAGTGCTGGATGGATAAGGTGTAGTTTTTGTTAGCTGGTGCTGTCTTTAGAGGTTGCGATTGATGAATCGGCGGTGACATCGCATCGAGGCGGTAGTATTATCTGGAGTTCTTCAGTTAGTTGGACTTCGTCTTCTGGCACCGTGTCCTCTGGGACGTGTTTGTCGTATTCCTCGTTTGTGGATACCCTACTGTAATTATAAATACACTGAAGAGATAGATAAAGAGATATATTTTACATTAAAAAAATAGAAATTTGTTATCATCTAAAATGTTTAGTATTAATAGTTAGTTTAGTTCCACAATAATTATTAAAATACAATTTAAGTTTGATGGTTTATCAAAATATATGTTATGGACCACTGAGAACTAAACATTTCCGACGGCTTTGCCTGCTAGAATCAGTATATAAAGTATCTTGTGTGCTAAGTTAATTTGGTACCCATGTACCAAATTTCATTCAAATCCGTTTAGGAGTTTTTGCGTGAAAGAGTAACAGACAGTCATTCATCCGTCCATCGTTACAAATTTTCGAATTTATTATATTAATAGGATTCATAATAGGAATATAATGTAACAATTTTTGACTTAATTGTATTAAAGTCTCGAACTGTTTTGAAATCGTTATTTCATTATGAATAGATACATTTATTCCTTGTAGCAATTATTTTTTATTATTATATTAATTATTATTAGAAATTGACACGTAGAGAATGAGATCGCCTTATGATCGCGTGGATTTATAGCAATTCTCATACTAGGATGTGTAAGAGCTTGGCACAAATCGGCAAATTCATATTATCTTGATATGTATAATATTTCTATAATAATTTTAAAGTATTGTAAACTTTTGTTCTATTTTAAACAGACTTCAAAAAGTAGGAGGTTCTAAATTTGATTGTCTATTTTTTTGTTTTTTTTTTATTCCATAACTTCGTCATTTATAAACTGGTTTATATTTTTTTTTATCTAAGAGGGTATATTTTTAGATTAGTCTCATAAAAACCTTATCTAAATTGGTTCACGTGTTTAGTTTTTAAATTGTTTTTTTCACAATGTCAGTTTTTTTTGTGAAACAAAATAATAATCTTTTTACTGGCATTTTCTTAATGGGCAGTTAAAGACTAAAAAACGGATAAACTTACGATATATAGCGAAATTTAATTACAGTAAATATGTTGAGTACAAAATAATTATATGGACACAATTTTCCGCCAAAACAAAGTCAACTCTAGTAGTCTAGTTTATTAATAGAACATAATGAAAAATAACAATCTTTTGTTGGAATTGTCACAAAAACTCTCTTTGAGTGACATTAGTAACCAATTGAAACCTAGAATTGAAATATTGAATCATCAATAATTCCTTTTTCGATTTTTACTTTTGGACATCGGCAGCTTGTGGTCAGATCAATTTTTTTCTTTTTTTCCATTTTTATTAACTTTTATTGAAATAGACTATACTATTGATTCACTCTTCTGATGTTAACTCACTCTAACTGAACACCGGCTTTGGCGCCCGCCAACACCGAAGTGTACAGCTTCGCTCTAGTTCCGTGCAACCGCATCCCTGCCGGCACATCCTCTGCCCCGGAACGCGTCTCTGGTATCGGGTGAAGTGGGTTTACACCACTACCTTGGATTACAAAACCATAATATTAAAGTGTTTATAATATAAAATTATCCGCGTAGCATAAAATAGGCCACCCCTTCCTATCCTGTGGGTGTCGTAAGAGCCGACTAAGGGATGGCGAAGGATGGACAGCAGCGTCCCTCTTAAAACATCTCTAAAGCCTGACAGCAGTTGCCAACACACCTGCCAAGTCTAACAACTACTAGCAAACTGACTAAAATTTTTATTTATTTTTCACACTTAATGCTCCATCTGTGGTATATAAAATGATAAAATCGTACATTGCAATAGTAAATTAATACAAAATCTATGCATATGTCAGGATATTTGGCAGAATATGTAATCCTTTAAGGTACGCCTTGATAGATGTCATTAAAATTTCTTTAGAGGAAGTTTCAGGTTTTCTGCAGCAAAAATCTGGAATGATCTACCACCTCCTTTGCATGTTAATATGTCCCAAATTACTTTAAAAAATAAACTTAAAAAAGTCTTATTGGAGAAACAAATTCAAAACAGTTGAGAAACTGACGCTTCACGTTTTTTTTTATTTTTTTATGATGCTGTCATTGTGAAGTGCGATAATTTATTCAGAGTTTATTCTTCTCGGTTTTGGTTGTAATTTTTTGTGTATTTGTTGTAATGTTTTATGTATTTATTGTAATGTTTTATGTATGTGTTGTGATGTATTATGTATTTGTTGGTAAGCGTGTTGAGTCTCCCATCCGAGAAATAGGTATTAGCGATCCGCACGCATGCTAAAGGTAAAGAAGTTAAGGGGCCGCCTGAAAATCAGCGCTATATAGGTACATCTCGCTGGAGCTGTACATATATAGCAATAGCTGAGGCGGCTCCTATTACCAGCAACATTAATTGTTTTTTTTTTCCTTTTTGTTGTTTTAATTTCTTAGTAAAGGTAATAAATGTCATCTATCTATCTATCTATCTATCAAAATTAATTGGATATCATTAGAATTCTGATGATTCGCCTCAAGTGATAAACGACCAACGTAGACGACACCTGGGAGGCATTCTTAGTGATGGGTACTAATAGATCCAATGTTAGCCACCTTATTGAGTCGACCTCCATGTAGACTCTGACCTAGACCTAGACTAGACCTCTCTGGAAACCATCGTAGTTATTTCCTGGTGAATTTCTTACGATGGCCCAATTGATTTGACTTCACCACATTTATCATCATTCACTGATAACCCGTCAAGGTCTACCTGGTAGTTGTGCTGGTGGGGTTGCCATTCTATTTTGCAAAATAAATGCCATAAACTTCTATTGATTGGCAATCAGCAGGAATTCTGAATTTTAGGTATTTTGTATTTTTTTTTAATTACGTATATGAGTTGTTTTTTCTTCCTTTTCCGTAGGTGTCGAAAGAGGCGATTAAGATAACTTAATGGTCAAGTATGGGCAGCAGTGTCCCTCTTTAAAAGTTATCAAAGTCTAACTGCGTTTGCCAATCTGTCTGTCAAGCGTAGTAACTACTAGCAAACCCCCCATTAGACCCCCCATTAGAGGGAGGCCTATGTTCAGCAGTGGACATGATATTTTAAACTTCATTTATACTTTATTGTACATAAAAAAATTACAGTGTTATAATTTATATTAAATAAAGATGAACAACAGGCGACTTTAATTCTGTAAGAGTTCTCTTCCAGCAAATTTTGAGTGGAAAGAAGCATTAAGTATCAACGGGCAGTGTGCATACATAAAGAAGTGGAAACAGTATAGTTATTTCTAAGAAGTAATAAATATGCTTATCTAATAATATGATACGATGATGATGATTTTTTTATGCAACTTAGAATGGCAAACAAGCTGACGGCTCACCTGACGAAAAGTGGTAACCGTCGCCTATAGATATCAACAGTACCATGGACATAACAAAATGATTTATCGTATATTATGAAATAGATGTAATATAAATTAATTATACCGTCATCTAAATCAGTTATTAGCTTAATCTCCGTAGTTTTGCAATTTTCGTCTGGAGGAAGTGGTAGCGTCATTCTTTCTATATCTTCCTTTTTGTCTGAAATCAATCAAGATTTCTTAATACATACATACATATCTGTTACGCCTGTCTCCCATTAAGGTAGGCAGAAACAATGGAACGCCAAATACTTCGATTCAAATAAACCTCTTTCACTTCTTTCACATTTATCAATCTTTTCATACACGCTCGCCGGTTACGGGTACTTTTAATTTGGCCCTTTTTCTTTCTTCTTCTTTTATAATAATAATTTCTTTTTTGGTTCGCGGTACAGTATTTAAGACACCTCGTCCTCGCTATTGGGTACGGGCGAGGGGATGTCTATAGAAGAGGATACATGGTACCTATGTTAAAGAGCTTAATTTAAGCGCAGTATTTAAGGAGTATGAGCAAGGTAGATGGATAGCCGAAGACTGCAACAAATGAGTATATAGTCGGCTTGCGAACTGGCAACCTGACGAAATAAAAACTAATACTTGTCGACATTACGTATTTCACATTGAAAAATAAGATCTGCCAAAACCCCCCTTTATGGGAGAGGCCTATGTTCAGCAGTGGACAATTAATGGCTGATATAATGATGATGATAAAATAAGATCTGATATTAGATGTATCACTATGTTAATGATATATATTACTGTGAAAATAAAGAAACTTTCCAACTGAACGGTTGGTACCCTTTCTTTAAAATTTCATATAATGTGACAATTTTAACAAAAGAGTAAACTACTGTGAAGAGGTGTTTTTTTTGTTTGTCAGTTTGTGAAATAAATATTTTTTTGTATAGGTATAAAAGTCCTAATTAATCTTTTTAATATATTATAATAAAATTGTGACTAGACAATATTATTACATCAGATATTTATAAATAGATATGGTTATAATAACAGCAATAGAAGAAAAAATAACCTTTACTTTCTGTCTATCTGTCCGACTGTCTGTGTGATTGTTTCGACGTAAAAAATATTGCATCAAATTAAAAGCAGTTATCATAGTAGAATTATAAAGTCTAACTTAAAATTTGGTACATGTTTATTTGGATACGTCGCCATATAGAAATGGTTATTTTCTTTCAAAATCCACTCGTACGAAATAGTGGGCAAAAGCTGTTCTTACAACGTAATGTTTTATTAAAAAAAACTAAAGAACTATTGTTGAGGTTGTAAGACCTAATATAAAATTGTATTTTCAGTTTTGTAGACCGGATGGGTGGATGACTGGAAGGATGGCGCTTTAGAAATGATCTTACCGTATGACCATGATGTTGACGATAATATGACATATTATCAGATGCCTAAACAATTTTTTTTTTCTGTTTCATACTAGCGGGAAATGATAGAAAGTTTATTATAAGAGTTCGTATCGGTATTTGTATGTGTGTGTGTGACTTACCTTTTTTAGCACGTGGCAATTCGGCATAACCACGAAATAGGGTTTCCAGTTCGTCGGGGCTCATGCGGCGGAGGTACGGAACCCGCTTCAGATCTGGCCGGTGAAGGCTTCGGAAGGAATTACGATGCTAGAAAAGGTATATCAAATCAAATCATATTTATTTGCTTGCGCAATTCGATTTCACGGTTATGTTTTTAAACATCTTATGTTTCTGAACGTCAAATCTCTATTGATATGACATCTAAAAGTGGCCTATATAATTGCTTTTTTTTTTACTTCTAAAATCCACAAGTACAAAATAGCGGGCGAAAAGCTAGTGTACAATATTAATTTTTTTCATTTAAGAGTTTCCTCTTGTTGGTGCAACTAATTCATGCATCTTCTTTCAGCCAGTTCTATCCTAGGTCATATCCTTGACCTCCCTATACGACATGACACCCAGTGTTTTTTTTCTGTCCCATGTAATTTAATCCTACATAATACAATATTAATAAACATTTAAAATTACCTTGACAAGACCAGGTGCTACTTGCATGAGTTCGCAGGCGTGTGACATGCTTACACAGTGTATTACGCTGTCGTGCTTCACCGATATGGCGGACAATCCGCTGCGGACTAGCTCTTGGTTGATCTGTAATGCCGTGTTTTTTTTTTTGAATGGATTATAATGGTATGGTAATCCCACCCGCGCTATCAGTATACACCGGCGGTGCACCAGTGAAGGATTATAGGCGAGGATGAAGTAGGTCAGTTAGCCCTCCGTGACGAATTCAACAAGAATTGTTCACGATGGTTTCCAGGGGGAACCACATGGAGGTAGACCTAATAAGGTATATTGCTAACAATGGGGCTGTCAAACTCCATTGCTAACAATCCCTTTTCCCCCCAATGCCGTGATTATATCTCAAATTGTTTCGAATGATTTTGAATGTGACCACAAGGTTACATGGTAATGAGTTTGCGGTGGTAAAAGCCATGGGAAAAGTTTTACTTTTTTTATACTCGTAATTTAGAAACCTGTTGGTTGAAGTGGTACTGTGTTGCCGGGATATAATTATACTGCCAAGACAACACCGCTTTTTGTAAAATTTATAAGTGGGTTCGTTATATTCAACAATTAAATTGAGCGTCGTGGCCATGAATAATTATGAAGTATAAGACCTAAAAATGTAATAGGATAGATGATCCGAATCTAAATAATATTGCTAAAACAGTTCCAGTTTTATTTGTTTTTTTTTTACTCGAGAATAATTTTTATTGAAATTAGTAGATATAATATTATATGTTAGTTTTTAGGAATGTATGTAATGGGGCTCCACGAGTAGCACAGTGTATCCATGAAGCTGGTTATGTCTACATATATGTGGCAATTAACACTATACAAGTTATATAAATCCTTTCCCGTGGGTGTCGTAAGAGTCGACAAAGGGAATTTAATGGTCGAGGGATGGAAGCCGCGTTTCTTGCTTGCCAACCTGTCTGCCAAGAATAGCAACTACTGGCAAAACCCCCCTTTATGGCGAGCTCTATGTTTAACAGTAGACAATTTACGGCTGATATGAACGAATGATCATAAAGTTGTATAAAAAAGACATCAGCTTATAGCAACTCGTGGGTTTTAGTGTGAAAAGTGTCATAGTTTTGTTAGTCAAAATGTTAGTTTGTCTAATAAATTATTTCCACATATGGAATCAAAAATTCTAAAACGACAAAAAGTTTTAAGTCAATGTGCGTGTCATATGGGAGGTTAAATTTTTTTGTCGTTTTTTTCTCCCATGTTTTTCTAGTGAAGACATTTACGAGTAGTTCCACGATTAGAACATTTCGTTCAAAAAACTCTCTGTATATATATATATTATTCCATCGACAGTTTAAACGAAACGAGGGTCTAAATTCGTTTAAGTGGTCTTAACACAAAAATTCGGTGAATTCGGTGGGATGCGAATTTAATCAGAGTCCGGTTTCAATAAACCGTTTTCTAAATGGAACAAAAACTGATGACCCGCATATCGGCACCATCAATCAGCTGACTGGACGTCTGTTTAGGGTTCGCTGTTTATATAGAATGGGTGGAATATTGAGTTGTAATAATGTGAACAGTGATTTGGAGCATGTATACGGCACTTCATAAGCTTTACGTAATTCCTAAATTTTTTTTATTAAGGTTAGTGTTGAAACCTAAAATTATACAGCCATTAAATTTATGATCTAAATTCATGCAAATAAATGATTAACTGATTGAAAAAGTCTACTTGTTATTTTTTTTTTATACCACTGAGATGGCAGACAAGCATACGGCCCACCTGATGGTAAGTGGTTACCGTAGCCTATGAAGACCTGCATTACCAGAGGTATTGCAGGTATTTGTTAACCAACTTCAAAAAAGGAGGATTTTAATTCCGTTCTATATTTTTGTTGTGTGTTACCTCATAACTCCGTCAGTTGTAAACTGATTTGGATTTTCTTTTTGTCAAAAAGGATATGCTTATAGAAGGACTGCTCTCGTATAAATTATATCAAGATCGACTTTTTTTGTGGGACACAATTATTTAAGATAAAATTAACACTACATATACAATATTATTAAGGTTTATGTGGAATTATTAAGAATAAAGAAATAATAACATTAAAGCATGAATAACTAAAACAATTTTTATAAATTAAAACCAATTTAATTAAAAAGATACTTGTTGTTCTGGATTCACAAAGCCAAAGATAGGACATTTTTAATATGTGTTTGTATAATTTTAATAGGTACCTTTGTTTCGAATGCAATTACTTTTTACGTTCTATATAATTAGGTATATAAGTTCTATATAATTATAAAAAGTTCATTATAATGCTCCGTTATTTGTCAACAAATTAACATAGTTTACAGACGTTTGAAATGGGTTTTACGTGCGTTTTTCCCATCTTAAAGTCTTGGTTTACGTAATTTGCCATTGAATTTAGGAATAAAAATTGAAAATGGAAAATAGAGAGATCATTTCTAATACCATATCCAACAGAATGAAAATAACGAAACTGAATATAAAATATTGAAAGAAGAAGCAAATCCTTTTCTACCTAGCTCTGGTAATCATGTTTGTCACAGAAACAAGAAAACATTTTTTTTATAATCTGGTACGGCTTGGTAGGTTGTATTCACACAAATTCATAACTTGTAAAATTCAATTTTCTGATAAAAGCAACAGCCGGAGTTTCTTGCCCTCAAAACTGACTTCAAAGAGAAGGAAGTTTTCAATTTATTTATATTTTTTGTCTGTTACTTCATAGCTCCGTTAGTTATAAATCGATTAGGAAAAATCTTTAATTAAAAGAATATACATACACATTGGTCCCAAAGAAACTTTATTTTTCAAAATTGGTTCATTGCTTCACTTTTTAAATCAAATTCACTGATTTTACCACAATTGAAGAGTGATTGTTTTATGGAATGTAATCTTAATGTCCGTTAAAACTGCATTTCGATTTGGGTGCAAGTGTAATAGTTAAACCTCCCTTTATGTAATGTTTTGTTCAATTTCAAACACTACTTAGCAAGAAGTCTTAAAAAATGGATGGGAGATTGATAAAGATACCAAAAAATACCGATTGTTTAAGATTCAAAATAAAAAAAAAAACCTAACATAATTTTTACCTGTAATTCTCTTCCTTCACAACATGGTATCAGCGACGGTGACTCTTCCTTCAGTTTATGCATGGAATTTAAATTTGTCACGTTGTCTCCGCTGGCTACAGGATTCATCAAGCGTAGTGACCCATTGGATGATCTCTTCTCCTTAACTTCGATGTTATTCGAGGATGCATCTTTCAGAAAACTGGTCATCGTTAAATCTTTAATAATCACTGGCAGGATATTGTGTTCGCGTAAGAGTTGCATTACGATGTTTGGTGGGGATCTTGGGAGTCTATTTGTGTGATAGGAAGTTTTGTGGTTACATTTCTGGTCGGAAATTGTCAATTGTCATTCATTTGACATTTCGTTTTTTGAATGTAACTTTTTTTTGGTAGTATCAAAGAGTTTTATATAAAACCTAAGATTATGTACTAATGGGTATTTTTGTCGTTCTGTTCATGGGACGCTTAGATATAGATTAGAACTTGCCGTCTTTCCATAGCAGTCTTTGGCCTTGGTATATTTAACTTTAACTTATATACCTTAGATTATAAAGTATATATAGTACGTTATACTAAGCTTATGTTATATATTTACTTCAAAATCTAAGGGTCATTCTACGATGGGAGGATATTTATTGATATTTTAAAAATGTACGTTCCGAAGATATTGACCCATATTCCACACGGATTAACTGATACGCACAATTGAAAATCGTCTCCTTACAATTGCGTAGATTTTACTGTCCTAATATTTTATTAGAATGTTAAAACCATGCTATGTTACGGTAAGTAGACGTTATAAAAGGTCCCATAGGAATTTTTAAGTACGATCGAATCTCAAAATCCTCTGAACTTTAAAAGTTTATGTTTGGGTCATTTAAAATAGTTTGTCACTTTATGGTTCGGAGGGTACGTAAAACTGTTGTCTGGTAAGACACGGGCCTTAATGTGTAATGAAAGTAGCTTAGAAACTTTGCAAAATCCTTATACGAGTAGTAGAAGTACTTATTAGTATAAGATAGTATATATCCTTATAAATTCGTTTATAGAACTCTGTAGTTGTATTTTCATAGCTATGCAAATTAGGTACGTAATATAGTTGAAAACGTATGTAGTTATTTAAGATAGAGTACTTGTAGTTTGTATTCGATAAAACAGTTTTGTGGTACACATTTCTCTTATTTAAAAATTGGCATAAAGGAAAAACGGAGAAAGTAGTAGTCAATTAGTTTATTATATTTATAGATTTGGACGCCTTTAATTTGAAATACTTACTTACTTAGTTCCTCTGATAAAATACTCAAGTGTGGTCAAGTATCGAACGCTGATCACGTAGTAGCACTCCAGCAAAATTACACCCTTCAACAAAATAAGGGTCGACTGCCCAAAATTAAGTACCTCGGCACTTTTTGTAACGTTTTGTTTTAGGGCTGCTGTAGCGTTAGGTTTGAGAAAAAACAATTGTTGTAAATCACGTTTATTCATGAACAAATGCCGATCAAAAAGTTACAAATATTATCAAAGAAAACTAATCAAAGTACAACAAAGTCTTAATAAATTGAAGTTGACAAATAGAATATGTTTCAACAGAATGTAATCAAAATAAAACAAAGTCTTAAGAAACCGAAACTGAGAAATAATAAAATATTTTAACTGTCGAACATTTACAAATTTTGAGTCGACAATCAAAATTTCCATTGAAAATTGCAAATATAATCAAAACTGACTATTGTTCCTCCTCTTGGGGTTTTGAATCGCGGTTCGTTATTTGTCCAGGCACGTAGAAGTCTTTTATTTCGGCGTCTGATCCAGATATCAGGCTTTTCTGTAAATAGAAAACATTTTACTCGTAGCTAACTATAAATTCAAATAGAGCTGATTTTATTTTCATGGTTGGGCTTGCCTTCGTCCCTTCAATTGGGTTCGCAGGGGGATTTTCTTATCCGTTGATCTCTGCCAGCAGTCGTTTCTCTCTTCAATCTTCTATGCATATCATCTTTCATACAGTACATTGATTTTTCCCTTGGTCTTGCTTTGTCTATATTCGTAAAAAAATAAACAATAAAAAAAAAAGATCATCAAATAATAATTGGATTGTAGCTAGCGTTGTAATGGTGTGTAAGCACGACAATGGCCGGCCAGTTTCCGTTCTATTCAAAGCAACATTTTAGCTGAACTTCCAATAAGGAAGAAACTTTTAGTTACTTCAACGTAGGTCTCAGATATAAATGATTTTATAGCTTGAATTCGAAACTTTAGAATAATGTTACATCATTTGATTGTAGAGGAGGTATATAAATAATAAAAACTACAAAATATGAATGAGTTTGAATGTGGGTTTGGGTTTGATTTCAGTCGAGTGAATTTAGTAAACAGTAATGAGATATGGTTGCAAAACTACAGAGTATGGAGGTAACACATTTGTGCTCAGAAATGGCAGTCTATGAAGAGGTGTCATTGGTGTCACTCTGTGATGTCCAAGTGCTGTTTACGTTTATACGTATTACACTTTCTATCAGGTAGACCGTTAGTTTAGTTGCTTCTCTAAGTTGCATGAAAAAAACTTTCATAGTTTTTTTTAATGGATGATAATGAAATAGTAGCCCATCCTGCGCTAACGGTATACGCTGGTGGAGCTCCAGTGAGGGATGATAGGTGAGAATGAAAAGACAGGTCAGTTAACCGTGATGAATACACCTGAAATTAAGCACGCTAGTTTCCAAGGGAGACCACGAGGAGATCGACCTGACATAGTATATTGCTAGCAATGGGACTGGTAGTCTGCATTACTAACAATCCCTTTCCCCAACTTTCAAAGTAGATAAGATAAATTTGAATTAACTAACGCGTCTTTGTTTCTCGTGCTTCATCTCGATAAGCAAGGAGCGCAGTATGCGATGCGCGAGGTATTCGCTGGTGCGGCGTACATCCGCACAGTCACCGTGCACGCGGTTGTTGACTACCGCTGAAGAGAGACCTTCCACAGCCTCCCCCCATTCCACTGTTTATAAAAATAAGTAGTGTATATAATATCTGTTTATCTTTTTTTTTATGCTACTTAGAATGGCAAACTGACAAACAAGCTGACGGCCCACTTGATGAAAAGTGGTAACCGTCGCTTATGGACATGAGCAATACCATGGACACAACAGAGTATACTGTTTCGCTCCTGATACCTCCCCATGTATTGCCATTTCTGAGGGCTCAGGTGTTATTTCTCTGTACCCTGTAAATTCACTGCCATATCCAATCCTTCAAACCGTTCAGCGTATCCCGTTAGCGCAGGCGGGGTTACCATACCCTTCAAACCGAAACAGCCGTACAAACACAACTGCGTAATCTTCTTGTACTTCTGTACCCTATGAGATTGACTACCTAAGAGAACAGAGTCAATTTCATAACTTATATACCTAACAATAGGTAACTTATATGCATAAAGGAAGCATATGCCAAGAAATAGCTAAAACTATATCAGAGAAAAGAATAAAGATACTGTTAGTAGTTCTGAGAAGGTCTGAAAGTTTTTAAAGAGTCTTCGGTTTGCGTTGTTTTATACACATTGGTCATTTATTTGACTCGTATAAATAAAAATACGAAAAAAAATATAATTTGTCACACCAACATGCACATGTCTACCAGATTGTTTTTTAATTTTGTTGACATTTATTATTAGAAATTATGTAATTTTGACACATGTGATATTGCAAAATCTTATAAAATAAAGATTTTATGTATATGTTATTAACAATCTGTGTAATTCAGGTATTCTAAACAATATCTAGGCAATGTATAGAATACCTAAGATGTCCAGTCAATATAAGAAATATTATAAATATTATTATTCATTACAAACTTTATTTAGATAATGTATACAATGCCCAGGGATTGTACAGAATACCTGCTGTTCCACTGGTAATGTGTAAATTAAGTAGATTTAAAAAATAAATCTACTTAATTTTTTAAATCTACTTAATTAACCTTCCTGCCGAGGTTTTCCAAAAAGACTTAAGCATGGGGTTCTTCAAAAGGGGGGTAAAAAGGTTTCTTCAGGGTCGGCAACGCGCGCGTAATACCTCTGGTATTGCAGGCGTTCGTAGGCTACGGTAACCGTTTACCATTAGGTGGGCGGTATACCTGTTTGCCATCTCAGTGGTATAAAAAAAACTTCATATTTTCGTCAGTTGCCAATCGATTTGGAAAATGTTTTTTTTTTTATCTGAAAGGATATATTTATAGATTAGTCTTTTTTTTTAATACAAATTAGAATGGCAAACAAGTTGACGGTCCACCTGATGGAAAGTGGTAACCGTCGCCTATAGACATATAGTCTCATAGCAATTTTAACAGACTTGTTCCAGTAGTTTAGTTTTTATATCAAAATAACTGGTTTTACCACAATTGAAGCTTGTGTTTTTTTGTGAAACACAATTTTTATTAGTGGATCATTTTTAATATTATCCCACATACCCCATTTGGCCCTCCCTCCGAAAGATGAAACTATCTTTCTAAAGATATTTCCACACGTTAAAAAAGTATTATATAGAATACTAGACCATGCAGCTTGCTGATAACATCTATAGTTAAATACTAAGAAAAGTAGTTACAAACTACAGAGAAATTGAACAGTTTTACTGACTTGGATGTCTCATATGTGGCAGTGTCACTTTGCCGATAGTTACGTCGATGCATTTCTGTACCTTTTGGCTGACAGATCTCGATAGGAGCTTTGCAGCTGCGTTCACCATCTTAAACGTACAATTAAGAAATATATTGTTATGTCTGTATTATATTATGAAAAGTAAAAGAGTCGGTAATGCGCGTGATATCCTTAGGGTTATAGGCGTTTATAAGCTACGCTAACCACTTGTGCCATCAGACGGGCGTATGCTTGTTTGCTACCGAAGTAGTATACAAAAAAATCTGACTGACTCATCAATAAACAGTCGAAACTATTAAGTTATAATTACCAAGTTTGACAGTAGATTCCTTTTATACAAGTAATAAGAAAGGATTTTTCGACGTTTGACCCATAGGAGTGTAAATATTGGGATAGAAATTTATATAAGAAATTATATTTTATAACCAATTTACCTACTTAAAATTAACCATATACGTGTTGTATAAAAACATTGCAACTTAATTTTAGCATTTCTCAAAATTAATTCCTCAATTGTATAATTTATACACGGGAAAAGTCACGGGGAACAGATAGTTTTATATATTTTTATAAAACTTCTCTTTGCATTAATTAGTGTCTGTTTTCATATTGGTACCATATTAATTTTATTATGATTTAATGCGGTAAATTTCTTTTGTTACAATAACATTGATTGTTGTCTAGTTTTAAAAAGTCCACGTATATATTCGGTGTACTTACAAAATAAATAATAGAATTTATTTCCATTTCAAGGAGCCATTATAATAATATTTGTGTTATCTTTTTCAAATTAACTAGTATATATACCTATTTAGATTTTACATTATCTATCATCATACAAACGGCTCAAATGAAATACTAAGTGCTAAAAGGGAGTCCCAATTTCCTGTTTATTTCAGCCATTAACTGTCCACTGCTGAACATAAGCCTTCCCTATGAGGGGTATTTTGCCAATAATGGCCATGCTTGGCAGGCGTGTTGGCAACCGCAGTTAGGCTTTTTAAAGATGTTTTAAAAGGGACACTGTTGTCCATCCCTATACCATTAATTTCCCTTAATCGCATCTTACGACACCAACGGGAAAGGAAGGGGATATCCTATTCTATACTGGGGCTACACTATGAATAAATATATTATTTAAATAACCCAATTACTTAGTTTACTCACTTCAAGCAATTTTCTCCGTTCGGGCAGATAACTTCCAACGGACACAGGATCAGGCAAGTCTTCTACTCGATCCGAGAATGTCACCTCGGCTAACTTTGTCTTCGATGGCTTTAATGAACAATTTAGATAGATATATATTCTTTATTGTTTCCTCCAAAAGATTACAATAGTAAACTTATTATAAATATAAACAATTACAAGAAATAATCACAATGAGAAAACAATAGGCAACTTTATCGCTAAAAGCGATCTCTTCCAGGCAACCTTTGGATGGAGAGGAGTAATTATAAACAATTTGGTGTATGATGAAAAAATCTGTTAATTCGAAATATGGAGATGTGATACATGTAATAATATAAATATATATCTATACTTATTAGGTATGTTTAAATAGTAAATATTTTCAATTTACTTCAAAAAGCAGGAAGTTTTCAATAAGGTCTCTTTTTTACTTTTTTTTTATGTTTGTTACCTCATAACTCCGTCAGCTTTAAGCCGATTTAGAAAATCCTTTTTTTTATCGTGAAAAATATATTTACAGATTGGTCCAATTTGCAAAATTCTTTTTTTACCTAAAAGGATATGTTTGCCTCATAGAAAATTAATAAAAATCGGCTCAGTAGTTTAGTTTTTATATCAAAATAATTATTTTTGTCACAATTAATGTTGGTTTTTTTTTGTGGGGCACAATCTTTAATTACGATCCTAAGATTTTAACTAAACGACTTTACTGACCACAGGTGTCGGTGGTCGGTCTTTCACACTCTTCAAGTCCAAATCGATGGTAGTCTCGGCGGGTATGTCGACAGTTTCACCGAACAATATGGACGCGCCTCGAACGTTCACATACTGGCGAGCTAGTTCGCTAGCGATCTGTATAGACCACCGGGGCGCTTTTCTTCCACTAATACAAATATAATTTATTATTTAAATTTTGAAGAATTTTAATATTTTGTAGATAGCTTATATGGCTTAATAATTGATGAGTTTTTTTAATGGATGATAATGGAATGGTATCCCTGCCGGCGTTGACAGTATACGTTGGCGGGGCACCAGAGAGAGATGATAGGTGAGAGTGAAATGGGAGGTCAATTAGTCTGTCGTGATGAATATACCTGAAATTTAGCGTGATGTTTTCCAGGTGAGACAACGTGGAGGTCGACCTGACAAGATATAATTTTAGCAATGGGACTTGTAGTCTGTATTACTACCAATTCCTTCCCGTCTAACAGCCCTATTGCTAGCAATATACCCTATAAGGTCGACCACTACGCGGTTTCTTCTGGAAACCAACGTGCTTAATTCTTATAGAATTTGTCACGATGGCCTAACTGACCTGCTTTCATTCTCACCAATCATCTCTCACTAGTGCTTCGCCAGCATACACCGATAGGTTGAGTTACCATTCTAATCTCACCCTTTAACCTCCACCCCCGAATATTTTTGTCAGTAACGTAATCTCATTTTTAGAAATCTATCCTGTCACTAAGTTAGTAGCTTGACTTCTAGGTACTCTCTAAACACCTTCACAGACTTTATTATTTTTTATTGCTGCCTCGTCGATTTGATACCGCAAGTGAGGTTACCTTCCCATTTTATGCGATTAAAAATATATACCTATATACAGCGATGGTTTACGACCTGTACTTACCCTTTTTTAGATTTCTCCGGTCGATAATTAAGGAAAAATACGTGTGCGGCTCTCGAGCGCACCACTCGTTCCACGTCGCGGAGCAGCAAGTTGACGCGGCGTCGGGCGAATTCAATTATCGCGTTTTCGAGCATCTGGCGGTAGGATGGGAGCAATGGTTGAACAAAAACCGAACAAAGTTATAGTGACTTACACTGAAATTTCAATATTTCATCATGACGATTAACCACCTATAATCTTCTAATTGACATTTGAAAATAGATGTAAATTTTCTTCTATCTTACCTATCTTCTTTTCCATGTTATACCTATAGACAAAATGCACTTTTTGTTTTCATTGTCTTTAAAATAAATTCAAAATAAAAAAAAAATTGTCTTATAATATCACTCTGTATATGACTTTTGGACACACTTCGGAATAGAGGATCCATATACAATCAAAGGGAATAAAGAGAAAAGTAAATTAGTCGAAGAGTATCACTACAATACTGATTTCTAAGCTCTGAATTTCAATGAGCAACTTAAATGAAATAACAAATTAAACTGTATTCCCTATGGTATATGTAAATTATAAATAATTCAATGTTTTTAGATAGCTAAAAACACTTTTTAATGTTTAATCACTTTGAGTAACGTGGTCCCGGTATAGTATAGTACCCACCCCTTTCTTTTCCGTTTATGTCCTCCATTCCACCTGCTAAGAGTGGCAGCTATTGGCAATCCCCTTCCACCCAAGGGAACGGGGCTTTCAAGGCTGATATGATGATGATAAATCATTTTAAATATCTTCTGGCGTCGAACTATTGAGGAAAGGTAAATTTTTGAACACAGATCTATTCTGTGGTAAAGTCTTGCATATCCACGACACGCCAACAAGGGATTCACCCCTATTCCTTAGAACCTAGTTGCGTACAGCGCGGTTTCAAAGACATTTCCTCAAATGAACGCTCAGGTTAAGAAAGTTTTTCCAAGATACTACAGCATGAGATTCTTAAAAAAAGGTTTTATACAACTTAGAATGGCAAACAAGCTAACGGCCCACCTGATGGAAAGTGGTAACCGTCGCCTATAGACATGAGCAGTACCATGGACATAACAGAATATACTGTTTCGCCCATGATACCCCCATGCGTTGCCATTCCTGAGGACTCAGATGTTATTCCTCTGTACCCTGTAAATTCAAGCCATATCCCATCCTTCAAACCAAAACACAGCCATGCAAACACAACTACTTTACGGTAGAAACACGAATGGGACAGAGGTACCTAAGCAATCGACTTTTGTACAAGGAGTGTATGCTTATTTGTCTTATAGTGGTATAAAACGTATATTTATATATTTTTTTAACGAATGGAATTTGTGTGTATATTTTTTTAATGAGTAGAAACGGTAACCCCGTTTACATATACACTATTAACGCTAGCTTGCGTTAGCGGGGTGCCAGTAAATGATATTAGTCGAGGACGAAGTCAGGTCATAACGAATTCACAGAGAATTACCCTGTACTGTAGTTTCTATGGAGACCGAGTAAAAGTTGACCTGACGAAGTATACTGTTAGCAGTGAAGATTAATATCCCCATTACCAATAATCCCTTTCTTTTCATGCAGCTAAATTCAGCATACGAGAAATTAAGTGTAACAGTGAGGGATGTGTCCCAAAACATGGACCACTGGGAAACAAATTTATTACTAAAGGTCAAAACAATACGCGTCAGCTGTTACTCGTGTTAGTGGAACAAGAACCCACATAAATTATAATAGAAAATTCTAGGCTGTCGTATTGAGAAATTGTATTATTATTTTACTAGCTGTATCTCGTAGCTTCGCCCGCGTATGTATGTAAACTATCCTATGTAATAAGTTAGGATATAATCAACGTTTTTCTTTTATACTTATAATAAATCTGTAGAGAGGTCAATTCTGTACATGAAATATATTTCCAAAATAACTATCAGGGGGTGATTAGTGATCGATACTGATGCCAAAAATGCTATCAGTAAAATTTTTGTCTGTCTCTCTGTATGTTCGTTATAGAAACAAAAACTACTCGACGGATTTTAACGAAACTTCGTATAATTATTTTTCATACTCCTGAGCAGGTTATAGTATACTTTTCATCACGCTACGGTTAATAGAAGCAGAGCAGTGAAGGGAAATGTTAAAAATGTCCACCCGTGCGACGCCGAGACGGACCGCAAGTTTAATATAAATGTTTCATTTAATTCCGTTCAGTAATTTTTGCATAATAGAGTAACAAACATCCATCTATCCGTCCATCATTACAAACATTTAATGCTAAAATTTTTCTTGATTAAATGATACATTCGCTAAACTCTAAAAAGTGATAATTTTCAATTTTAATAAGTTGTAATAGGATCGTAAAAAAAAGATCTTTAACATTTTAACTTTATAGCAGCTGCCGTACTTCTGGCGTTCGACACCAGTCAGAAATTTTATTCTTTTATTTTATTAAATATTTCTTTGACAAGAAATTCAAAATATTGTAAATTCTATTTGTATAGTAGGCAGTACAGTAATGGAAAATATGGAATATAGATAAACATACGTGTGGTATAACACCTCCTACTATCATAGTCTTTTTATCATCTAAGCGATCTGTCATTAATAACTTATGTCACGATTACATTAACATTAAACGATTTACATCTATTCTATGTTTTAATATTATATTGTTATTACAACATTAATCTGGCGACGAGGTATGTCGTTAGAACGTTTTAATTTTAATACATTCGACAATAACACAGAAGATTGGGAATACTATATACAAAGATTTGAAATAGAACTGCAACTCCATGGCCTCGACGGAAGATCCCCAGATTGCAATAACAAGAGGAAACAATTACTTCTCTCCGAGTTGGTTCAACAGCATTCAAGATACTTGTGGATTATTTTCGCCCATCTGCAGTAACGTCAAAAACCTACGATGAACTTGTCAAAGTACTTCATGAATATTACGGCAAAAAACGGTATGTCCTTTCCGAACGAGTATCTTTTGCAACAAGATATAGAAATGAAAACGAAACGATTTCACAATTCATATTACAACTTCGTTCACTCGCCGGGTACTGTGAATTTGGTAACACACTAGAAGAACGTATTAGAGATCAATTAGTAATTGGTATTAATAATATTGTATGGCAACAAGAACTTATAAAAGAACACCCAACAAACGATTCCAAACTCGCTGATGTTATAGCTACATTGAACAAACTAGAACAAGCTGAAATCCAGAGCCAACGTATAACAAACACCACTGCCATTGAAACAACTGCCGAATTACAAGCCGTAAACAAAATCAATACTCGAACCAGCAAGAGATCTGTAAAAGAAACGCCAAATTTTTCAAAAAAATGTATATTCTGTGGGGGAAATTTTCACCAAAACATAAACGAATGTCCTGCAAAAGGGAAGAGATGCAATGCTTGCAACAAATTGAACCACTTCTCAAACGTTTGCATAAGTAGTGGCCGTCTTAAAATCAATAAATATAATACAAGGCATATTTCTTTCAAAAAACAATCAAATCTCAATGATAGTGAGAATGAAAATTCAGGGGATGAGAGCATACATACCTGTACAATTAAGTTCCCAAATTCGGTTAGCAAAATTATGATATCAACAGAACTCAACAATAAATTAGTTGAAATGTTATATGATCCTGGAGCTGTACGCTCCGTCATCGGTAAAAGACTTTGGGAAACAATTGGACGGCCATCATTAAAAACATGTAAGAATCTTGTTGCCTATACTGACGTTAAGATTGAAACGTTAGGGGTTTGTGACATTTCTGTGAAGGCTTTTAACACAGTGAAAGTATTGTCGGCTTATGTGACACAACATAATGACCTGCCATTATTTGGCTTAGATTGGTGTCTACAATTCAACTTGCCTATGCCACCTGGTGCCCGTCTGTGCAACATTAAGGAACCCACAACAAAAACGAAGTCCGATATGAACACCAAAGATAGCTATGAGATTGACCTCATTCTAAAAGATTTTGAAACATTGTTTGACGGAAAGTTGGGAACAATTAACTGTCATAGCGCGAAAATCCATATCCCCAGTAATATACGACTGAAGGCATTCCGGCCGCGACCAGTTCCTCTCGCATTACAAGAACAAGTCAATGAGGAGCTGAAGCGTTTAGTACGTGAGGGGGTCTTAGAACAAATAGACACCATGGCAACGCCGGTTGAGTGGGCATCACCCATAGTTATTGCGATAAAATCAAATGGAAACGTACGCATCTGTGCTGATTTCAAGGTAACAATCAATCAATACGTACAAGTAGATGATTACCCACTACCGAGATTTGAAGAAATTACCTCAAAACTAGCAGGAGGACAATTATTCACTAAAATAGACCTTAAAGATGCCTATCTCCAACTATTGGTACATCCAGAGTCTAGAAGGTACTTAACCATCTCAACACACAAAGGTTACTTCCAGTATAAACGATTACCCTTTGGTATATCTTTTGCACCAGCAGTTTTCCAAAGAATCATGCACCAAATCCTAAGTGGGTTGGATGGAGTTGTATGTTACCTCGATGACATATTAATTACAGCTGGTACTCGTCAAGAACACATAAAACGAGTCAGAACAGTATTACAAAGGCTACAAGAAGCAGGTATCAAAAGTCAAATTTCCAAATGTTCTTGGTTACAGGAAAGTGTGACTTTTCTCGGTCATAAAATTGACAAAAATGGGTTACATCCAACATCAGAACGAGTTGAAGCCATCAAGAAGATGCCTACTCCAACCAACGTAGCTGAATTACGATCCTTTTTGGGTTCTATTACGTATTATGGTCGATTTATTGATAATTTACATGTTAGATGCGCTCCCTTGTATCGCCACTTAAAAAAGAATCAAAAGTGGGAGTGGACCATCGAGGACACGCAAATAACAAACGATCTGAAAAACACTCTGACATCGAATGAAACCCTTGCTCACTATGATGAGAGTAAACCCATCTACGTCAGCAGTGACGCTTCCGATAAGGGAGTTGGTGCAGTCCTTTTTCATAAAATAGACAATACAATGCGACCCGTCGCTTTTGCTTCCAGAACATTATCTGAAACGGAACGTAGATACTCAACAATCGATAAAGAAGCATTAGGTATTGTCTACTCAGTAACAAAGTTCCACCAATATCTCTATGGTCGGAAATTTACTCTTTTAACGGATCACAAACCTCTCGAACGTATTTTTAGCCAAGATAGAGAGACACCTAAAATTGCAAGCAATCGCCTGCTTAGATGGGCCATGATTCTGAATAGTTACGAATATACTATTAACTACCATTCAGCCAAGGAAAATAGCCCAGCTGATGTATTATCAAGACTGCCACTACCTAATTGTGATACAACAATAGAAGAACGAATAGGATTGCCGAAATTTTCACATCTCCTACACCTTAGACTAAGTAACATACCTGTAACAAAACATGAGCTCAGAAAAGAAACACGTAGCGATACAAACCTTAATAAAATTAAACAATATCTAACGAACCACTGGCCAGAAAAGAAAGAACTATCAAACGATATGCATACATATTACGAAAAAAGAGAACAAATGTCATTTGAAGATGGAATAATTTTGTGGAATGGAAGATTATGTATACCCAAGAAGTTACAGCCTGCTATGCTTGAAATGTTACACGACGGACATAACGGCGTCAATGCTATGCAGTCACTAGCGAGACTGCATGTTTATTGGCCAAACATAGACAAAGACATCCAGAATTTCTTAAAACGGTGCACACTCTGTCAAGCTTGGAGTAATACTAATGCTGCGCCAGTGTATCCTTGGGGAGTACCACCAGAACCGTGGTATAGGTTACATATAGATTTTGCGGGCCCATTTTTTGGATATATGTGGCTCATAGTGATAGACGCCTATACAAAATGGCTAGAGATTATACCAATGAAATCAACAACATCGAGATCAACAATATCTCATCTAGATACTATATTCGCAACATTTGGCGTGCCCAAATATATCGTTACCGATAATGGTCCTCAATTTATATCTGACGAGTTTAAAACTCACTGTCAAAATATTGGTATAACACACATTAGAACGACCCCATACCACCCTAGAACAAATGGATTAGCAGAACGTGCTGTTCGTACATTTAAAGAACGTTTGTTAGCTTCGGACAAGAGTATCGATTTGCATGAACGACTTAGCAGGATCCTTCAAGCTTATAGGAACACAACCCGTCGATCAACAAACCGAACTCCTTTTGAAGCAATGTTTGGAAGGCCAATGCGTACTACCTTCGATTTATTAAAACCAAACATACAAGACGACTTAGAACGGATGAGGCTGTATAAAGAAATAAGACCTACACAGAAGGTAGTCATTCCGCCAACATACAAACACGGAGATAAAGTTTGGGTAAATAAACCCACAGGGAAGGGATCTGATGCAGGTATAATAATAAAATGCAACGGACCATACTCCTATGAGGTACAGTTTTCGAACGGAGTCCGACAACGCAAACATTCCGATCATTTACGCCCAAGACTATCTAGCAGTCAAGATGGCATTCCAGCATATACTCACTATCAACGAATCACAGATAGAGAAGCTCGACTACAACATAGTGGTGATTGTGGAAGTCAATCATCACCAGTACCCTCTACCAGCAGGCAACACCCTGAAGGTTCAACACCACATGATGGTATTTTTGTTGCCACCTCAGCATCGAGAAACGATGAAATTACCCCTACTGATCCGCGGCCACAGTTACTACGTCGCTCACTACGCCAGCGGAAAATACCAGCACGTTACGGTTTCTAAAAACTGTATTTCCATTGGGGGGGAGTAATGTGGTATAACACCTCCTACTATCATAGTCTTTTTATCATCTAAGCGATCTGTCATTAATAACTTATGTCACGATTACATTAACATTAAACGATTTACATCTATTCTATGTTTTAATATTATATTGTTATTACAACAATACGAACATGGGTTCACTGTTCAATAAGTTCGACTGGATCAGCGAAAAGGTTAAAACTGGTTCAGGATCGGCGAAGACATTGCACAATCATTTAATATTTTCTATCTTCAAAATCCATTCAAATATTGAATTTTTTTTATTCATTACATTACAACTTTATTTCTATTTATTTACAAGAGGGCGACTTTGTACAAAAATTGTTTGTACCTTTTTTTTTATATCGCAGGGGGCAAGCGAGCATGCGGCTCATCTGATGATAAGTGACTACCGCCGCCCATGATCACCCACAACACCAGCGGCATTGCAGGTGTGCTGCCGGCCTTTTAAAAAGGAATATACTCTTTTCTTGAAGTTAATTCCAAAGAATGGTTGTGCGTGGAAGAAAGTGCCTTGAAAAACGCACGGTGGCAGACCGCCACTCGTCCAGATGATTGTGATGAAACTTTAGTTTGTGGCGGGTTGTACGGTGGTGAAAATCTCTGTCCCGATCGTGTTTCTACCGTGAAGCAGTTGTGTTTGAATGGCTGTGTTTCGGTTTGAAGGGTGGGATGTAAATTTACAGAATACAGACGCATAACATCTTAGTACTCGGGATTGGCAACGCATGGGGGGTATCGTGGGTGAAACAGTATACTCTGTTATGTCCAAGGCACTGCTCATGTCTATAGGCGACTGTTACCACTCTTTATCTATAACTTGTTTGCCATTCTATCTTGATTAAAAAAATTACATTATAAACATTATGTCTAACCAGATCAAGAAGTTTAAGCGGCGAAGACGGTAAGACAGTCTCCAAATCCATTCTTGCTCGAGCTTGTCCTAACGTCATAAGCATATCGCCTTGAGTCGACACAGCAGTGGTCATTGCTTCAGCTGCTAGCCGTTGCGCTAATTCTGGACTCATGCCTTTAGCGTCTCGTTTTGACTAGAAAATACTTTTATTTATAAGGAAAATATATTTTTAAAATATAAGATGAATTGGCTGAAAAAGAAAATTAAAGTGGCAGCAACTTCAAAGAGTAGGTATCTTTTCGTACAATTTGTTCCCCGGGCTTTAATATTAAACTAGCCAATTTGGCTTGGCAACTGATCCACTATAAACCTCGAGATTAATTTATATTTAATTAATAAGGGTAATTAATTATACATTATAATAAAATCATCAAAAATTATATAATAGGTATAGGTAATTAAATTTATAACATTGTATCTACTTAATATTTCACAGTTAAATAAGTATATATACCGTCTTTTTATAAAAAAAAAAAATACCTAACATATTAATTTCAGGTGTTAGCTGGCCACTGCTAAACGTAAGCTTTCCCAATAAGGGGAGTTTTGCCAGTAGTTGCCACGCTTGGCAGGCGGGTTGGCAACCGCAGTTAGACTTTTAGAGATGTTTTAAGAGGGACGTTGCTGTCCATCACTCTACCATTAACTTCCTTTAGTATCCTCTTACGATACCTGCAGGAAAGCAAGGGGTGCCTTTTTGGGGGCGGCTATATTCAGCAGTGGACAATAGCTGCTTCAACAACGAGAATGTGACAAATTTCTCTAAAAATTGTATTCTCTTAATCAACTGAAAGTCGAAGTCATGAAGGCATTTACATTTGTATCAGAGGGAGACTTTGTACAAAAGTCGTTTGCTTGGGTACCTCTGTCCCATTCGTGTTTCAACCGTGAAGCAGTTATGTTTGCATGGCTGTGTTTCGGTTTGAAGGGTGGGATATGGCGTGAATTTACAGGGTACAGAGGAATAACACCCGAGTCCTCAGGAATGGCAATGCATGAGGGGTATCATGGGCGAAACAGTATACTCTGTTATGTCCATGGTACTGCTAATGCCTATAGGCGACGGTTACCACTTTCCATCAGGTAGGCCGTCAGCTTGTTTGCCATTTTAAGTTGTATGAAAAAAAATTGTTTAAATAAAAGTAAACATTTAAACTTTCACCTTATTAGGCTACTATAAGGTATTTAATTCACTCAGGTATTTCATATCTACCTTTTCAAATTCGAGGCCCATTTTTTTAACAAGCTGAGCAGCTTTTGCGTGACCACCGTGCATAAGTTTCCAATTCGCAAGCCTGATGCGCTGTAGCTCTAGATCGTTATTATACGCATATATTTCAGCTTTCCTGTAATATTGAAATTTGAAATTATCTATTCCACGAATATAAGACAATTTTAGCTTGTTACGTAACTAATTTTATTTTTAAACGCAAAACGTTTGGCTTTAAATTACAACCAAAGTGAGTAACAAAAGAGTTTTACTTGGATCGTCGCATTGCACCGGCGGTCATGTCTTCGGTATATAATTTTAGAAGCAATGCTTCTTCTTGTAACTTTTGATTTTGTGCTGTAACACGCGCCTTCCATTTGCTGTTAGACTGCAGATAAATTAAAATCATATAGAAAATCATAAATTAGTTAAACATAATATAATGTTTGGATTTAACATAAATGCATTTTAAAGGGGTAGACGTGGTTTTTTTGGGATGAAAACATGAGCATACATATTATTAATTACGTTAATTATACTTGAACTAAGCGATTTATTTATATTGTAACTGATTTTGTATTTACATTATTTAATTTTGAATTCGAAGCTAAGTTTTTTAATGTATTATTATTTTTGGAATATTTAGTCTTTAAAATTATGCAACTATTTTCATTAAACTACATATTACATTTGAAGTCGTCAGCATCAGTTCATATACCTAATAGGGTACTGTTTGTTATTTTATTTTTATGCATATAAATGCTACACAATTTATTGTACGAATACTACAGTATGGAGACAGATAGATACTCTTTATTGTTTCTTGCATAAGATTACAATAGCAAACTTATTATAAATACAAACAATTACAAGAAAATATTACACTAAGAAAACAATACGCGGCCTTATCGCTAAGAGCATTCTCTTCAGGCAACATTTGGATGAAGAAGAGTTGTCATAAATGTGATGTTGATTATTATTTTTTATACAACTTAAAATGGCAAATAAGCTGACGGCCCACCTGATGGAAAATGATAACCATCGCCTATAGACATGACATAACATAACAGAGTATACTGTTTCGCCCATGATACCCCCCTTGCGTTGCCATTCCTGAGAACTCAGGTGTTATTCCTCTGTACTTTGTAAATTCACGACATATTCGTGTATTTTGGTTTGAAGGGTGGGAATGGGTGCGAATGGGACAGAGGTACCCAAGCAAACGACTTTTGTACAAAGTCTCCCTCTGGTTATTTATTTCACATATTAAAAATAACATTAAAACAATTTTTTAATTTTGTTATTTTCCTGGTCTTCAAGCTAGGATGACATAGTACATTACGAGAAATCAGTCAACGAACGTCTGAGAGGTTCAACCCAGAACATTTATATACTTATTTTTATAATATACATAATAATAGTGTCTGCCTCTTCGAAATGGTATTTTTATTCAAAAAGAGTCTCATTGGAAAACTACATACAATGAAATGTATGACAGAGCACGTAATGTATTGATGAACAGGGACACACGGCACGTGAGAAAAGAGCCGCGAAGGATTATCATGTAAATTGGTACAATATTATTTACGCCTAACACAAAACCGTGCACATCTGAAATTACGTATTTGGAGCACGTACCCACCTAAATGTTTTATATTTGTAAGCAAATAAGAAATAAGTAAGGATTGATGCAGGATTTTAGAATTAATGCTATATTCGTGACCGGCACTCTCAAAATCGCTTAAAATAGGAAAATTTTAAGTCGACGTGACATAATCACAAATCGAGATTTTAAAGTAAAATATTAGTTGAAGTTTTTAACAGTTCATGGCCACTGTATTGATTTTATGCAGTAGTTACGTAAGACAAGTTTAACGACACGACATTTATTCAAATTCATCAAGGATACATGTTTTTTTTAGCGATAATGAAATGATAATTTCGCCCGCGCTATTAGAATATGCTTACAGGGCACCAGTGAGCGATTATAAGTAAAGATGAAAGCAAATCAGGGCCTCTAGACAAGTGGCAAGAGAATACGTCGATGGAATCGACATCGCTAGCGAGTCCGTGAGTTGGAATGAGTCATCCTAATATATATATATATATATATATATATATATATATATATATATATATATATATATATATAATATAATATATTTTAATAATAAAATTTTTTTTTTTTTTTGAAATTTAAAAAATAATAATAATAAATTTATTTCTTTATACAAAGGTAGTTACATTACAGGGTTTGGTATCTCCTGTTAAGCAAAAATTGCTTGTGTTAGGAGAAACCGCTCCTTCACAACAATAATTAAATTTCATGATCATTACAATTTACTTTTCTTTTTTGCTTAATCAGCATTAAAAATTTTACTTTGTTTTACTTTTATACAATAATATATATATATATCATAAAAAAAGAAAAAAATATGTGCTTGTTCTTGTGTGTATGTGTGTGTGCGAGCGTGTGTGTGTGCGTGCGTGTGTGTGTGTGCGTGCTTATGTGTGTGCGTGCGTGCGTGCGTCGTGTGTGTGTGTATGTGTGAATTTGTGTGTATGGTATAGATATATATAATAATATAGTTTGTGTTCTTTATTATTTTTTTTTTTACTTTTGTACTTTTTATTTATTATTTATATGGTTATTTTTTAATTCCAGACTATATTTTCTATTTCATCGTAACTTTTGGCTTTAAGCCAAGTAACTAGAGTCTTTTTACATTTATGATAATTGAGTGAATATATATCGAGTTCTTTATTTAAATTGTTATATATTTTTGATGATTGACTGGTGTATTGTCTTTTTGCATATGTAGTTTTAACTGTCATTGTATCAGCTACTTTGTGTTTTCTTCTATTTTTATTATTTTCAGGATTATATGTTAGCGATTTATGTTTTTTTAATGTAAGTTGAAGTACATATAATTTTCTTACTGTCAGAAGATCGGTTATTAAGTAAAGGCTTTCAGTAGGGAACCGAAATGGTTTAAAGTACATCACCTTTAACAGCGATCTCTGTGCCCTTTCTAGTTCTAGAAATTTTATTTTTGTTGCCCCTCCCCAAATTGCTATAAACAAGGATAGATTGAGCCAAGGAGACATAAATTCGCTGCAATAAGGTTTTTGTAGTAATATGACGTAGCATTTTAAATACCCAAATAAGCTTTCGAATTCTATTCATAATTATTTCAGAGTGTTGGTGCCAAGATAAACGCTGATCGATAATTACTCCCAGGTATTTGGTGTTATGTACCTTATTAATTGTAGCGCAAGAACAATTTAAATTTTGATAGTTTCGGCATTTGTGGATCTTTATATTAAATCTATTTTGTGGTTGTGTACGATCATAGTTAGTAAAACAGATGTAGTTAGATTTAATGGCATTTAAAGTCAGTAGATTATATTGCAGCCAATCCGCTATCTTAGCCAGTCCGCTCTCAGTATGTAACTTTACTTGTTCCCAAGTCTCTCCTGTGAAAATAACAGCTGTGTCATCAGCAAATGAAATAACTAATCCCTCTTCTAATGCCATGTTACATAAAGTATTAATACGAGTATATATAAGAAACAGTGTAGGGCCGAGGATATATATTTATATATATATATATATATATATGTATATATATATATAATATTTATAAAATATTGTCAGGATAATAATGAATTATATAAAAATGTTGCATGCCAAACTGGCTGAATGCGAAAGCAACTTATTATCATTAAGCCCATTCCATTATATACCACATTAACTGCAAATAAAAGGAAATTAATATCATTAAATTTCGATTTCGTTCATTTCATATATACCGATATACAGGTATCCAAATTTGTGGATAGTTTGGTAAAATCTGAAATACTAGCTATTTCCGACGGCTTTGTCCTTTGTTTGCGTGTATTAGTACATATTTTATGTGCTAAATTAGGATATAACTTAACCTTGTATCAAAATAAGAATTAAATTTTAAACATGGAGTAGAATGGAAAGGAAATAACCCTACAACAGTAACTCACTTTTATCTAGACATACTAGGTGGTCGATTGTAAAAGTGAACATGTACTTACAACTTAGAAACTCATGTATGTATTTCACAATTATTTAAGTTCAATGTTAAATAATTACCAAGAGAATTCAACCGTTTATTTATAGAGTAATGTAAAGCAATATTATAAAGATAAATAATTGGATTTCTTGTTCAGATATAATAAATAAACACAAAAATACTTCTTTTAAAATCGGTTAAGTATTTAAATAATACTTTATTAGCGAGTAAAATATTCCATTTTACCTTATATTTTATTTAGAAACAATTCTGTGAAGGCTGGCGGGTCGCTAGTGTTTAAATACCTACCTCTTCTTCCAGGCGTTTTTGCTTTGCCTCTCTCTCGTGCTTTAGGCGATTCAATCTCTTCCTCTCATTAGTTCTCCATTGTCGAACCATGGTGATTTTCCTTCGCAGTTCCATCTCGGCTGCTGCTTGCACTCTTTGCTTGATTCTGTTTTGTTTCTCGTGTGCACGTGCAGCTCTTTCCTTGCGTTGTTTATCATTGAATTCCGCTAAGTACTGCATTCTGGCTTGAATCTTCTTCTCTTGTTCCTTCGCTCTGTAAAAACATCCACCTATTGCTTGAACTTGTACAAAATCTTTTGAAATACCAATGAATACTAATCTTAGAAATATAGTCAGGGTCTAAACACCATCCAAAGATTGCCTGGAAGAAATCGCTCTTAGCGATAGGACCGCCAATTGTTTTCTCAATGTAATGTTTTCTAGTAATTGTTTGTATCTATAATAAGTTTACTATTGTAATCTTATGGAGGAAACAATAAAGAGCATCTATCTATCGATCTTGTTCATAAAAACTAAAGTCTCCTACAAACGTTTCATCCATTATTCTTAAAAAGGTTCCTAAGCATTTTATTTTCTAAAACATAATTAATTGTAGAAGTAATTAACTTTCCCTCTGGCATGTTGAAATAAATGATTTGAATATCTCCGACGAAATGCGGACAGATCAACAAATCGAAATACCAACGATCTTCCCATTTAGAATTATAATTGTGAACCTAGTAGCTGTAATTATTAGGTAGGCAATATTTATTTTCAATACATTTTACTACAACTAATTATGTGTGATAAAATTATAGCTAAACGATGTCTATATATGGGAAATTAAATAATATGAGGAGTCCTAATAAGACCAGCAGATGCCAAAATTTTTTTTTATTAATTTTAGAAATCTTGTCTGTTATTTTGTTTATGCCATGACCGTATTTTATTTATTTTAAATAAAAATCTGCATTTCAATAAAAAAATCCATATTTTTTTTAATTTTACGTCAAGTGGAAATGGAGAAGGAAATGGATAAATTTAGAGCCTTTGAAATGTGGTGCTGGAAAAGGGTGGAAAAAATTAACTGGAGGGATCGTATTAGCAATGAGGAGGTCCTACTTAGGGTTAAGGAAAAAAGGCAATTTATTGGAACTATTGAGGACAGAAGGGAAAAAAATTTTGGAAACCTTGATACGACACGACGAACTTATGAACGTTATAATATAATTATAATGTAAGATAGAAGAAAAGAGGGGAAGAGCGAGACCGAGACATAGTTACATCAGGCAGATCAAGGAAGGTGTTGGTGTCGTGTCGTATCAGGAGGTGAAGAGATTCGCTGAAAATCGTAGTAGCAAGAGCTCCACCGACAAGAGCGCAGCTCTTAAGATAAGCGCAGGATAGATAAATAGTTACGTCAAGTGTCAATACAATGATTTATACAAAACTAATAAAATTGGATGCGGTTTGACAGTTATATTCTTGAAGGTATAATTTATAATCTCATATACGTTTCATTTGGATAAATCATCTAGTAGTGATCTATTTAATTGCTTTTTCTACCTCTTAAATCTACGCATACGAAACAGCGGGCAATAAGCTAGATAAGGATAAAGAATTTAATCTAGATTTAACTTTGACAAAAAGATACCACAGTACCCACTGGAGTACAAAGAGACTTCAGACTTTTATTCTTTATCCAAGCAGTAAGTATCTATATTTCTCATTTTTGTATATAATATGTATATAGTATATTCTATATTTGTGTAAGTATATTTGTTATTTATATATATTCATTTATATATGTAAGTATGTCAATAATTACTGGTACTGCATTCGAGTATTCTGACACTTCCCTAAGGTTGATTGGAAGAGAATGCTTTTAGCATTAAGTCAGCCTTACACACATACATCTACTAATGAATAAATAATTCAAATATATAAATAAATATATATTTGTGTAATGAGAAGCAAAATTATTTGGTTTACACCTTTACATTCAGAAGTGAGCAAATTTATTTTTTATATATATTATAATATTGCTCTATTGAGCTTCAAACCTGGTTTTCTCATATAGTGAAGTGATTAATAAACATATTAGGAGTTGTCAAATATGGTGAGTTGTCAGGTTTTTCCATTATGAATCGTCAATATAGATTTACAATTCTATTTGATTTCTATAATCCACAAGGGAATATAATCCGCAATCCGCATGTCTGCAAATGGATTTTTGATAACGAATTCAAAACAGAATACTTTTTGTACGGAGCTTATCCCTTTAGAAAATACAAAGAATAAATTTACTGTGAAATGTAAAGAGTTATAGCAAACCTCATTTAGAACATTTGTATTATTATTTCACTTTACTCTTTACGTTTCCAAGTCTTTATAAAATCTGAGTACGGAAAGAGTATTATATTAAATCGACTCACTTATACTATCATTAAAATTGAAATCTTCAAAGTAAAATCATAAACCTCAAACGTGTTAAAGCTGAAAGAACTCTGTCTTAGGGTTGTCACTATTGGATATATTATTTTAATTAAAAGTTTTCTTAAAGGTTTTTTACTATTTAGATTTTTTTTTCATAATTATATTTATAATATTTATTTACAACACATAAATAAAATATACATAATTAAGATAATTATGATGAATTGTTAAAGTTATAAATTTAGCTGCATGTAACCCTTTCTTTATATAAAACAATACGCGCTCAATACACTGTTTCTGTGTACACTACATTCATGCAACACTACACACACAAATAACACACACTTTTACACTAATTATTGCTGAATTTCCAGTGAATTGTATTTAATTTAACATACTCTCCAAAAATAAACATAATATTGTGTGGCATACAAATTGGGAATCTATAATTGGTTAATGTATAATATTATATGCATAACTATATAATATTTTTAATTATTCTAGATATAAGCTGTTGATACCATATATAATGTTAAATAAATACCACATAGATTTCATTTATTTATATAATTCTAATCTTATTAATCTCGTTTAATTTCTGTTTCTACCCTGATAAAAACAAATTAATAAATATGCTAATAAATAACAATTAAATTAAACATTAAAATATGTTCCCATTTATTTAGGATAAAATTCTTTAACAGTATTTATTTGTATGTAAATTTAGTTTGTGAATTTTAAATCGTATACAAATATACTAAAAATTTCTAATCATTTAATAGTGTCACCCCTAGCTTGTTATATTCAGTACAGAATTTGTATGTGAACCGTCCCGAAGACTCGACGCTTGGTTCTTTTAATTAAGACGCCTTGTGGGACCTTTGATTTACGTGGAATATTTTGCCAGATGAAAACTCTAAGCTTAGCACGGTCTCGTTTTGTGTAACGGGTTTGAGGCTTATTACGCGATATGATTTATATAGTGTGATGTGTGTTTTATTTAATCAATTATTTATTTTTAATTAGTAAACAAAGTCCTTAAAAATTACTGTTTATCTAATAAATTACTAAGACATTTCTGAATATTTTATGATGATAATATTTTTAAGATTATAATTATAATCAAATTGCGGGATTTAATTCTACGTACTATCTTTAAGTGTACGAAGATTGAAAAAAGCTAAACTTATTATGCTGACCTGAAAGTTACGATAGGAAAAAATAGATATGAAGATATTATAAGAGCTCAATGGGTTGATCAATGGAAGATTTATATATTTTATTGTTAAGTTTCGTAAGCACACATTATATTTTAATGTTATAATTACCGGTTTAACTTATGTAAGATTAGATCGAGAACTCGACTAATTTCGGGACCAATTCGGAACTCTTAATTATGAGTGGCTGTGAGGTGAGTGCAAACTGACTGCGCGCCTCGGCCCGCTGAGTGCGAGCTGAAGGCGTTTACGGCACCGTCACTGATAAGAAAGACGGCATTCGGAAATATTCGGATATGAACAGCGGGGCTCTGTAAGTTTTTCTCTTTTTTTTATATATATTTTCGTTAGAATGTTATTTAAATTTTGCCATACTTACTTACCTTTTTATTTTCGATTCTCTGCTTTTTTTTCGCATTATTATACCCTGCCCCTATCCTAATTATTTAAGGTTGACGTAATATTTTTTTATTCATATCACAAGGTATTCATATATGAAGGATCAGATTTTAGTTTTGTCAATGAATTTATAACAATAATAAAATTTGCCTCTAAATTTGCCGCCCATAAAATTTGTCCTCCTAGACTCCAGCCTACTCAGGTTGACAATGGTTACTTACTAAACAAATATTTTTCGGAAATATTAAATCAAGAGTGGAGCTGTATGCTGCAAGTGCTATACAAGTGGTATAAATACATCGACGGAAACTAGAATAGGCATGATTAGCTCAAAATAACACTAAGTACCATACAAAAGAAATTATATTTCCTGATTTTAAAAACTTAATAGTTCTTTTATTAAATAGCGACTCGATGTAGGCGTTTAATGAAATTAAGAAATAGTCAAATAAACGATGGAGATGGGGCGATAAAAATAATTCAGCGTCATGTAATGGACCATCAGACATTATAACCGGTTTTATCCATCGTCTAGCCAATAGACGTCTCTGCCATTTGAAAAACATTTCGGTCACAGAAATGTGATATAACCCTTGATCATAATCTAAGAATATAACTTATATATTTTACTTATATAGACTACATTTTTTCATATTATCTTTGTTAACCTTGAAAGGAAAACGCGTTTTGATGGCTTTAGACAGGACGCGTGGGTAGGTTACTGGCACACTTTATTGAAAAGGCAGCTCGTGTTGCTGCTAAAAGCCTTTATATGGAGTCTTTTGCCAGACTGTAAGTAGATAATAAGTTATTAATTCTGTTCATTTACATACCCATTTTATTTTCCCAATATTCGTGGAAATAACATTATTTATTGGAATAGTATAGACAGAATAAGAAGTACCGGTCCGCAAAATAATATGTTATCCTCATTTTTTACTTTATTTTTTTTTTCATTCAAGATTCAGGATTTATTTATTTGTAAAACATGCGTATAAATACATGCAGATGTTGACAATATAATATCGTTCGGCATGTTTAGCCTGTACGGCATACAAAAATATGTAGTTACACAGACAGTCCAAAATTATACATCAAGTCCATTTTATACAATTAATCGTCATCACATTCCAATTTTAAATACGTTTAAATAAAAAATAATTGTCAGACAAGAATATAAGAACGATGTCACAATGATGTTAATAAATATAAATAAATATTC